TGGTCCTGGTTTTTCCTTCTTAGAATTGACCACTTTTAAGGTTTTAGGTAAGGGGTATTTTGTAATTCAGGAATTTACTTAACTTTTTCACTTAACTGTAATTTACCTAACTTTTTTTTTTTTTTTTTTTTGTCGGTTGTGGGGCCTGAACTCTGGGCCTGGGCGCTGTCCCTCAGCTCTTCAGCTCAAGGCTAGTACTCTTACCACTTGAGCCATAGTTCCACTTCCAGTTTTTCTGCTTATGTGGTGCTGAGGAATCGAACCCAGGGCCTCATGTATGCAAGGCAAGCACTCTACCACTGAGCCACCTTCCCAGCCCCCTTACCTAACTTTTAAATGAAATGTCACTGAAAGTTTATGCTTAATAGAAAATTTGCTCAGATTTTATTAGTTATATTGTGATTATCCTCATCCTTGATTTTATTCTCAAGTGGAAATGCTGGCACAGAGGAGTGTGTATTTATAATTTTGATAGAAACTATAATGATAAACTACCTTTTGATTTTTCTGAGTAATGATTTAAATTGAATACATTTGGGCATGGTAGACATAGAAAGCATTTGAATTTAGAGTGTACATAAAAAATAACTCAGCCAGGCACGGTGGCTCATGCCTGTAATCCTAGCTACTGAGGAGGTTGAGATCTGAGGTTCAAAGTCAGTCCAGGCAGGAAAGTCCATGAAAACCGGAAGTGGCCCTGTGGCTCAAGTGGTAGAGTGCTAGCTTTGAGCTGAAGAGCTGAGGGACAGTGCCCAGGCCCAGAGTTTAAGCCCCACAAAACAGCAACAATTCATCTCTCCTGTCTTTAGTGTTGCAGATCTTGACAGTGTTAATTTACCGAACAAATTAAAGCCTAACAGAATTAAAAATTGCTTTGAAATAAACATTGAAAATGCTTTGAGATACAAATCACCAGGAATTTAAATATGAGTTAGTGTTGTGGCAGTCACAACTGCGACTAGCTCTTTGCCTTCTATGTGCTTGTTGATGTTTTCTGTTAAATGGGTTCCTTCGGAAGTGTTTCTTTATGAAAGAGTTACTAAAGAGCCATGGGGTACTACTGGCATGAATTTGAGATACTCATCTCCTGAATACCCATGCAACTTGGAGTTCTTCTACAGTATTGAGCTTTTCTACCAGATAGTTAGAATCAGCTGAAGAGTTCCTAGTGATTACTGTTCGATGATTGAGGACTGTTGGGCAGCTTCTGGTTCACAGAAGTTGAGAGCCACAGGACTCTGCTCAGTCTATTGACACCCATTTCATCCTCAGATTCTGCCATTCTAGGACTTAGCAGACTACCTAAATTGAGTTTGAAAATACTAATGAGGCTGGGTGCAGGTTATGCCTATAATCCTAGTTACTCAGAAGGCTGAGATGCGAGGATCGCAGTTCAAAAGCAGCCTGGACAGGAAAGTCCATGAGACACACACTTCTGGTTAACCATGAGAAAACCAGGAAGTGATGCTATGGCTCATAGTGTAGAGCTCTATCCAAGCAAAAGAGCTCAGGATCAGGAAACATTGAAAAAATGCTTCAGGTTAGTGCTTTGTCTAAGTAAATTGCCCAGGTTTTTTTTTTTGCTGTTGTTGTTTTGTTTTGTTTTTGTTTTTTGGTCATGGGGCTTGAACTTTGGGCCTGGGTGCTATCCCTAATTTCTTCATTTCAAGGCTGGTGGGGGGGTGGGGGGGAGTTATTGGAATAAGAGTCTCACGTACTTTCCTGCCTGGACTGGCTTTGATCTCAGCCTCCTGCGTAGCTAAGATTACAGGCGTGAGCCATCAGCTCCCAGCCCAGATTTTTTTGAACTCAATCCTATCTGAACTGATTAGTAGCTAAGATTATAGGAATTTGACAACAAGCCTGGCTCTTTTTTGGGTGTGGGGGGTGCATACTGGGGTTTGGACTCAAGACCTCATGCTTGCTAAGCACGTGCTGTACCACTTAGACTATACCTCCATTCCCTATTGCTTTAATTCTCTCTCTCTTTTTTTTTTTTTTTTTTTTTTTTTGCCTGACCTTGATCCTCATATGTATGCTTTCTGCATACCTGAGGTTTGGGGATGTACTATCACACCTAGCTCTTTATTGATTTCAGTGGTGTCTTGAGAGCTTTTTTGTCCTGACTGGCCTCAAACTGATTATTTTGATTTCAGTCTCACAAGTAGCTAGATTTACTGGTATTAGCCATCATATTCAATTTTAATAATAATAATCTATGATTTAAATTTTTTTATTGTTGTTATAAAGGTGATGTACACAGAGGGGTTACAGTTACATAAGTCAAGCAAAGAATACATTTTTTTTTTTGTACTATGTCACCCCTTCCCTCGCTGTCTCCCAGTTTAGTCTGTGGTTTTTGAGAGAATTTAGGACAGGAAGACAAGCTTACAACTAAAGAATTATTGCAAAGATAGAGTGATCTGGATAGGTCTTAGATTACTTCTGGAGAATAGAACTTCTGGTTGAATTAGAACTGTGTTGGCTTGAGGGGCTGGGAAGGTGGCTCAGTGGTAGAGCGCTTGCCTTGCATGCCTGAGGCCCTAGGTTCCATTCCTCAGCACCACATAAGCAAAAAGAAAAAAGCCGGAAGTGGCGCTGTGGCTCAAGTGGTAGAGCGCTAGCCTTGAGCTGAAGAGCTGAGGGACAGCGCCCAGGCCCTGAGTTCAGGCCCCACAACCGGACCCAAAAAAAAAAAAAAAAAAAGAACTGTGTTGGCTTGATTATCAAACTTTTTTTCTGATAGTTGCAGAAGTGATGGGAAGAAAGCTCTGGTATTAATCAACTGGAGCTTTCTGCGTTTCTCACAATAATCAGTAACTCTATAAGGCAGACATTAGGCTTCCATTTTACATGTGAAATTAAGGATTGAGAGTAATTTGCCTGTGTTCACACATTGTGAATGGTTGTTGGGAGGCATAATGAGCTCATAAGACTTAAAAAGTTGTCTTGACAGTCATTAGATATGAGTAAGAAAAACCTATTTTTAGTGATTTCTGAAAGAGGAAATTTATGTATTGGAAATTATCGTAGTCCATACATTCATGAGAGCGGTTTTGCTATTTGCATCCCTTCTGGCACCAGCATAAAGATCGATGTCTACATTGTAAATTTATTACAACTTGGGCTAGGAAAAATGTGCGTTCAGCTCTGATAAGCTGTTGAAGCTTTGCCAAAAGAGAGCAAAGCTTGGTTCTTGTAAGTCAACAGCTTTCTCATCGTTGTCCTTTTAAAAATAAACAAAAAGGAGTTGGTGACCTCTCAGGTACTGTTCGTATTTATTTTGTGCCTGCTTTGTGTAAGATCTTTTCTTTCTTTCTTTCTTTCTTTTTTTTTGCCGGTCCAGGGGCTTGAACTCGGGGCTTATTAGGCTCTGTCCCTGACCCTCTGTGCTCAGGGTTAGCACTCTACCACTTGAGATACAGCACCACTTCTGGCTTTTTCTGAGTACTTTATTGGAGGTGAGAGTTTCACGGACTTTTCTGCCTGGGCTGGCTTTGAACCACGATCCTTAGATCTCAGCCTCCTGAGTTGCTAGGATGAAAGGTGCCTGGCTAAGATACTTTTTTGTATTTTATGGAAGATAAAAAATGATTTTTATCTATCTGCTTTAGAAGACTATTGCTAAAGCAGTCCTTACTGTCTAGTGCCACAACTTTGAACCTTCCTGCACCATGCACGGTACACGCCAGTCCCGCTGCAGTCCTAAAACTCTGCTTTGGCGGCCCAGAAGGCAGCTGGAAGGAGCTGGGTTGTAACCTACTTGGGGCTGGTGAGGCAGGGTCAGTGCTGAGCCAAGGGCCCCAGCGGCCACTACAGTCGTAGAATCTCACACTTTTGTCTGGGCTGCCCTTGAACTGTGATTCTCTGGTCTTACCTCTCAAATCTGAAGAGATTGGCTGCACATAAGATAACTTTTAAGGGCTGGGAATGTGACTTAGTGGTAGAGTGCTTGTCTAGCATGCACGAAGCCCTGGGTTTGATTCCTCGGTACCACAGAAAATGCTGGAAGTGGCATTGTAGCTCAAGTGGTAGAGCGCTAACCTTGAGCAAAAGAAGCTCAAGGACAGTGCCCAGGCCTTGAGCTCAAGCCCCAGGATGACCAAAAAAAAAAAAAAAAAAAAGATGTAACTTTTCAACACCACCTTTGTATTAGGCTGTGTTGCAACCATGTTTGGGAGGCTGATTCTTCCCCAAATGCTTTTTGCTACTATCCTTGGAATTGCTGGAGGAATATGTATTTACCAGCTGATATTGAAACAATACTCCAGAGATCAAGAGGAATTAAATAAAAGATGAAATTGGAACAAGAATCAGAAGAGAAGAGGAATTAATGCTGTTAGAAGATGAACTGTTGCTTAAATAAATCCTTACTGATGAAAAGAAAAAAACTTTTGCTAGCAGGATGAAAGATATACTATTTCAGGACAAACTGATGTCTTTGCTGACTATTTTAGGGACAAACCGATACCTTTGCTGATGTTAGTTTCTAAACAGAATTCCGTAGAATTCCACAGAATTCCATGGGTAATTTTATTTCCTTACTTTAATACCAGATGAAATCTTTTCCACTTCTCTTTTTTTTTTTTCCTAGTGCCTAGCCTCATATTTTCTAGGCAAGCATTCTACTTCTAAACTACCTCAAATATTTGTTCTTCGTTTTTTTCTAAATTATTTGATAGTGTTGTATATTGTAAACACAAGAGAAATGATAAAAGATAAAGATAGTTTGAAAGTTAAAAAGATGTCAGAAATCTTTGACTTTTTCTTTCTGATCTCTATTAATAATGGCAAAGCAATTCTTTGCTAAAAGATTTATAGAAAATAACTTTGAGCTTCTAGTCAATTTGGAAATGATCACACTTACAGATTGTATCCCCAGAATTTATTTTTACAGCAGTCTATGAATAAATACAGTAATAATGTCTTATGTTTACAGTAATGTCTATAGGTCTGTAGTATATGAGTGAACACTTTTTTTTCCCACCCTCATCCCTCAGGGCATAACTATTCTTGCTGTTATGCTGTCAAGCTGTAAACTAACCAGCCGAAGTTTTAACCAGAAGTTGAGCCTCTGAGGTCAGTTAAAGTAGCAGTTGACATTTTTTTCTTGGCGTGTATTTATTCATGTATTTATTAACTTTTAATGAAAGTAGACTTTTCACAAGTTCTAATGATGCCTTGAGCTTCAGGATATAATTGAGAAACAAGAAAAAAATGGGAGAGAAGAAACAAACATTGAAGAAAGATTAGAAAAAGAAGTCTATTTAGCTTGTAACTGAAGATAACCGGTCTAGATGTTATCCTCAATTGTGGTACATGGAGTACTCATTTTGACATAATCTGTAATGCCATTGTAATGAACACTATACTAATTATGTTCTAATACCCTTTAATAGGCCATATTCATGTAACTATAACCCAAGTAGACTCATAAGTAAACCAGAGTAATAAAGAAATGTATCTTACAGTGTTCTTCAGTGGAGAAGTAAGAATTGCCACTGATAGAACTGTGTTAACATTCTGAGAATGCTACAGAGGCTGGAGGCTTTAAAAGTTTGAATTGTAATAGCCATCTATCAAATAAGAGTGGGTATCTTCACTTCCTTCTTATCTGTCTTCATTAGTTGTTGTTCATTTGCGGTATTGAGGCTTGCTTTTGTTTTGGTTCTAGATAGAGGAAAGGAAGAGTCTAGAAGGAAGGTTTCATTTAGTAAACATTTATTAAATGCCGGCTGTATGCTAAGCCTAGGGATAAAGAAATAAAGAAGAAACATACTGTGATTACCGTGTATGACATTAATTCTTAAACAGAGCTTTATATCAGAGTTGGTTTTGAAAGACAAAGGTAATTTATTTTACCTTGGGGTAAATTGCAAAGGTAGATTTGTAGGAATTTAAAAATTGTGTTTGAAAAGTTTGCATATTTGTTTACAGAAAAGTTGACTACTATAATGATTCCTCTTAGACAGACTAGACATTACCAGACTACTATCCTCCCTTTGTTTGTTGCTATTTCGTTCTTGGACTGGAGCATAAGTGCCTGCCTAACAAGCATGAGACCTTAAGCTCAAACCCCAGTACTGCCAAAAAGAAAAAAAGAAAAGAAAAAAGCAGGTCTTAAAGACTTGTACTTTCTAACATTGTCTAGTTATTTCTTCTGATACCAAATAGTCATGTTCTTTTATCCTTCCCCCCCTTATAATTTCACTAGAAGCTCAATAATAACACTGTAATAATACTGGTAGCTCAGTTGGGTTGATTAAACACTTCTGATGAGGAAATTAAGTGATTCGGTGTACTTCTTACTATCTCTTAATGGCCACTTCATCTGTGAAGGTGATATTTTGGCAACCTTTGGATTTTTGATTTCTCATCACCTTTTCTTTTCCCAATTATTAAATAGGGCAATAGGACAGTTTTCTAATTCTATTTTACATTCTGCACTTATTAGCTATAATTTTTTTGCAAAAAATTTTATTAGTGCTATATGGGTACTTTTAGAAAAGGAAAATATATATATATATATATATATATATATATATATATATATATATATATATAATATACCTTCTTTGAGCTAGACTACCACCAAACTGTGGCATCAATGTTAACATAATATTTTGTACTCCTGATTGCTAACTTTAAAATTCTAATTGTCTGTGACAATCTATTGACCAACAGTTTAGAATTCTTATGTAAAAACATATAATAATTTCTGATATGTGTGGTTTGAAAATTAAAGGACTTACTGTATTTTTTAAACTGTGTTTAATTTTTGAAGATAGAAAATCAGTACATTTGTAAGAAAGGATGTGGGATCAAGGAGGACAGCCTTGGCAGCAATGGCCTTTGAACCAACAGCAGTGGATGCAGTCATTTCAGCACCAGCAAGATCCAAGTAAGAAAGAAAATGAACGTGGAAGAAGCTGGGAAGGGAATGGAGATGGGTAGGAGATAGGTGTGGGGGTAGAATTGGTTTATCACTTGGTTGATAAACCAATTGATTGTCTTAATCACCGTATTCAGAATGTGATCTTATAAATAACCCTACCATATAATAAAAAGTGAGATTTTTTTTTGGCTTTCTCAAAGGATAACAAGCTCTATGAAAATTTTACTCTTAAACTGATTTAGTCTCATTTTTCTAAAGAAAAAGCATTAAAGTTGTATAACTAGCATATACTTCTTTATTCTGGACCTTTCAATTACATGATATTCAACTATGATATACTATATTTTTAACTTTTCAAGTATTTTGAGCATATATTAGAGTATAGAGTCCTCATTTATTTCTTTAGTATTTACTTAACTATAGTTGATTTTGTTTCATCCATATTTTCTTACACTAATCTGCCTTGTCTGAGAAATCCTGCAATATGCCCTCCATATCCTCCTCTTCTTACTTTTCCTTTCTGAGCAGAGTCCTCCTATGTAGCACAGGCTAAACTAAACTCATACTATTCCTGTCTTACCTCCCAAGTGCTGAGATTTCTCGATATTTGACTTTTTCTTTCTTTTAGATAACACAAGCATATATACATGTATTAGTCACTGTCCAGTCACTTTCTTAATAAAAGAGCAAGGTTTGCCAAATGACGTTGTAGATTTAGAAAATTCTCTTTATTTTTTGGTGGTACTGAGGTTTGAACTCAGAGCGTTGTGCTTGCTAGGCAACACTTCACTGCCTGAGCCATATTCCTAGCTCTCTTCTGCTTTTAATGTCTCATATTTTTATCCTGGACTGGCCTTGGACCTCAGTCATCCTACCTGTACCCCATAGCTACAATAATATTTGTATACCACCCTACTCAACTTGTTTATTGCAGTGGAGTCTTCCTAACTTTTTTTGCTAGGAATGGCCTCAAACTACTTCCTCCCAGTCTCAGTCTCCCAAGTAGCTAGTATTATAGGCATCTGCCACTACACCCAGACTAGATTTAGAAAGTTTTAGATACAGATGAACAAGTTTAACACCATCCAGGTTATTCCAGTTTTATCTTTCAACAAAACATTATGAGAATGTCTACTCTTTACTAAACTGAAGTATGGGAAAAAATGTTCTATTTTATTAGTAATATTAGACCTTAAGCTGTTATCTTTGAAGATAATGAAGGGAAGACTTCCAAAATAATAGGGACAATAAATTTTTAGTAAAGGATGGCAAAAGTTATTATAGAGATGTGTTTGGGCCACCAGTAAGCCTTAAAGAAAGGTAGCCATGAGGAGGAACTGGGATAGATAGCTACAGTAATCAAAGTATGCCTAAAATGGAGAATAGGACATGCTACCGTATTTGCTTATTTGTTTTTAAAGGAGGGGAGCTGATTTTTTTAAATTGAGTAAGATAAAGATACAGGAAGTTGATTTCTTGGAATAATATTGGAAAGGGGCTAAGACTTCTTCTGTGGATTCTTCTGAAAAGTTTTAAGTAATTTTTGGTCTGGTCTAAGTACGGACTGTTTTCTAAGCATTTTTTCAGGCATAATACTCTATATTTAAAATGTACTACAGAGTAATTTGAGATGTTTATTTTAATGGATGCACTGCTATTTTAGCTTCTCTTCTGAATGCTGAAATCTTGTTAATTTACATTAGGCCAAATTGACTGGGCTGCATTGGCTCAAGCTTGGATTGCCCAAAGAGAAGCTTCAGGACAGCAAAGCATTGTAGAACAACCACCAGGAATGATGCCAAATGGACAAGATATGTCTCCAATGGAATCTGGTCCAAACAATCATGGAAATTTTCAAGGAGATTCAAACTTTAACAGAATGTGGCAACCAGGTTTGTTTATGTTATCTAGATTTTAAGACTTTTTAAAGAACATGAAGATCATTAGTAAATTATTTAGTTGGATTAATTTTATGTCAGTCTCAATTTTATTTGACCTTAAATATATGTGGTTAAAAATATTCTGTACTCAGTCTGCTAGCATTGTGGCACTCAGTTTGATTTTTTTCTTGGTTCTTCATTCCTAGGATGACAGGGGCTGGGAACACTCTGGAAACCTCACTTGGCACCTAGGGGAGAGAGCATTCTCTCTGTTGCAACCTCTGGCCTTTACACAAGCAGCAGTGGCAGAATAAAATATGTCTAGCTTCTAATTAAAGAAAAATTGTGTCACCATGTGACAAGTCTGTCAAGCATACTCTGCCCCTATCAGGCACCCACCGTTTTCTTCCCTTTTTTTCAGATAGTCATGATCTTCCATAAGCTTTTATGTTTTTTTTTCTTTATGTTTTAGATTTCTTGATGCTAATTCAGTTTTCTATGGTTGTGTTATTTTTTAATAAACACTGAAAACGAGACGAATTTTATATTTGGTCATGCTGATGGTGAAGCCATATCCTTCTTTTGCTATTAATATTTCTTCTATTACTGTAAGAGTGGAAAACAGGCATTTCCAACATTACTTTGAAAGGAATAACAATCTTTGATACTGTGAGGTGTCCATTTCTATCTTCTTGAGGCCAAATTTTTCCAAGTATGAAGCTGTTTTGGTGTCCCAGTTTTAAGTTTATAAATGATTCACCCTGACATTACTCTCCCACCCTCCAAAGTTTTACTCTATTGGCTTTCTTTGTAACCCTGGGGAAGTTATTTACCTCTGTATGCCTCCCTTCCCCCTCCTGAAATTGGCAAAAATAGTACCTTTTTTCTTCCTACCTCACAGGGATGTTGTGAGGATCAATGTGTTCATGGAAGAAAGAAATTATATATTAAGTAATTTTTATGGTGTCATTATTGAACAAAATAGATTCAACAAAAGTTACTTTGGATTGTGTTCTATTCATTAAAGTTAATTTTGAGCATTTGGATTTTATTGACTTAGGATGTAAATTAGAATGGAATTAACTTATTTGAACTTAGGCAATTTATTAGTTCTTTGCTCATTTTTAAGATTAATATAGAAAGAATTTGACCAAAAAGTCATAAGTTGTTTTTATTGTTTCTTTACTGAAAAATGTAGCTTTTTTGAGATGTTAAAATTCTGTATTGATTTTATTATAACCCCCTGTTGAATGTTTTTATGCCTGAATCCTAAATAGAATGGGGAATGCATCAGCAGCCCCCACATCCCCCTCCAGATCAGCCATGGATGCCACCAACACCAGGCCCAATGGACATTGTTCCTCCTTCTGAAGACAGCAACAGTCAGGACAGTGGGGAATTTGCCCCTGACAACAGGCATATATTTAACCAGAACAATCACAACTTTGGTGGACCACCCGATAATTTTGCAGTGGGGCCAGTGAACCAGTTTGACTATCAGGTGAAAGATATTTTGTTGCCTTAATATCATAGATGTGCACGTATCCATTCTTTGGAAGTGTCTCATGAAGAATATCTAAGATATGTGTGCAGAGTTGTACAGATAAGCATTTACAGTATTTGAGAGACTTTATCAATTTTTGTTTATTTAAATCATTAGACTTTATTTTCTGAATATTTCTTTGATTAGGAAATGAATAAAGGATCATTTGGGGGAAATCTGGATAAAATGAAAAATGAGTTGGTGTAATAGCTGTTAAAGTTTAGAAAATACATGGTAGCTGAATACATTGTCAATAATAGATTATGGTTAAGACATGATTTAAGATGCTTAACATAGATTTTTTTTTTAACAGTTCCATCTGTGTAGTATTACACCTGTTTTTTCAGTGTTTCCTTTCCTCCTCCCCATTCTGGCATAATTGTACATGATTTCTTCTGTAACATTTAATTCATGACATGGAACTCTATGGGGAATAGTAGTACCATGTGTGTATATCCTCTGTGAGAATTGACGATCCTTAAATGATAATGCTAGATGTCATTGTGAAATAACTTACTACTATTGTTACTTTATAAACTAAATTGCTATAATATAAAATTTTGGAAAGTCCCACTTAATTCTAAGATAGATTTGATAATATATTCACCTTGAAGTAGTCATTTTCTAGTTAACACACAGTCACATAAGTTGTACTGTGCTCATATTTGTTAATACACATGACAGCTTTTATTTCTGAAGAGATGTAGTAGCAGGGAACTTCTTTTAGTCTAGTTTTGATTGGTGGATTCTATATTAAGAAAACAAAGCTATTAGCTACTGGCCTTGAAAACCTCTAAATATAGCAAAGCTAAAAATAAATTACTGTTATAATTAAGTAACTGTCTTTGATTATAAGTAAATATATCCTGTGAGATTATAAAAGCAAGTTGAATTCACTAGAAAAAGGAATTTAAAATTGACAAAAGCCTTTACTTGTATTTTCTAGTTAAAAATTGGCTGGGCCTGGTGGCCCTTGTCTATAATCCCAGCACTTGGGAGGCAGAGGCAGAAGGATCAAGAGTTTGAGAACAGGCTACATAGCAACATCCTACTTCAAAAAATAAAAAGGAAGAGGAAATACCAAGTCTTTGTGGTGGTGGTAGTGTTTACAAATTAGTCTAGAAAATGTTCATATATACATACATACACATCTATGTACATATACACACATACAGTTCTTGAAGATGGTGAATCATTTGGTTTTCTTAAGAAACAAAATTAGGTTCTTTGGGTTTCAGAAATACTAGTAGATATTAGAACCATGGGATTCTTGGATTTGCTTCACACATGGATACTGTCCCAGTTCATAACACGCATGTGTCCCAGGGAGTATATTATGTTAAACTGAAGAAAAATAAAATACAATACTCTTTCAGCATGGGGCTGCTTTTGGTCCACCGCAAGGTGGATTTCATCCTCCTTATTGGCAACCAGGACCTCCAGGACCTCCAGCACCTCCCCAGAACCGCAGAGAAAGACCTTCATCATTCAGGGATCGTCAGCGTTCACCTATTGCACTTCCGGTGAAGCAGGAGCCTCCACAAATTGGTAGCTATTTAAATGAGTTCGGTGAAACACAGTTGTCATGAAACCTTTGTAAAAACAATGTTTTGTTTCATAAATTGTTACAGCTGAAATAGTGGTACTTTAAAACAATTTTTAAATCATAAATCTTAAAACTACAAAAAGATTGATGCAAAAAAAGTTTCAAGTAATTTCTTCAAATCTTTTGTCATAAACTAGTTTGTGATGAAGTGTAATTTTTTTGATTTTCATAGCATCTTCTTATTCTGGGTTAAAATTTTGGTATAGTAAGTGTTCCTTTTCAAAACCTAATTGTTAAACTGGGGGCTGGTGGCTCATACCTGTAATCTTAGCTACTTAGGAGGCTAAGATCTAAGGATTGTGGTTCATGACTAGATTAGGCAGGAACATCACCCAGTTAACAACCAGAACAGAAGTAATGCTGTAACTCATGTGGTAGAGTACTGGCCTTGAGCAGAAAAGCCCAGGGACAGCACCGAGGCCCTGAATTCAAGCCCTACAACTGGCACACACACCTGTATGTGCACATACACAGACAAAGAAAACAAAACGTAATGGTTTCCTGTTTTAGTTCTCTTTCTACTCTTAGTTCATAAGATACACAGTTTTCAAATTTTAGATTTTCAAAAATTTTTCAATTTTCCTTTGATTATTTCACATTCTTAAGTATTTTGGCAGAAAATTTAGAATTTAAATATCAGACGTAGGTTATTGCTAGTGAGAAGTTACACACTTATGCCACATTTTAACTGGAATGTTTCAGAATCATTCAGCATTTTGTAGAGCAGAACATTAAGCCTTTCTTTAGAAATACTCTTTTTTTTTTTTTGCCGGCCTGAACTCAGCCTGGGCTCTGTCCCTCAGCTCTTCAGCTCAAGGCTAGCTCTCTTCCACCTGAGTCACAGCGCCACTTCCAGCTTTTTCTGCTTATGTGGTGCTGAGGAATCGAACCCAGAGCTTCATGCATGCAAGGCAAGCACTCTACCACTGAGCTACCTTCCCAGCCCTCCTTAGAAATATTCTAACTGCTTCTCAATGTATGGAAAGATCTTAGTGTAAAAAATCTGTCCTGCCTTTTGTTTGACTCTGCTGTATGTTCATATTTTGGGGCAGCAGCTTAGTATAAGAATTTTTCTGGGGCTGGGAAGGAGGCTCAGTGGTAGAGTGCTTGCCTTACATGCATGAGGCCCTGGGTTCAACTCCTCAGCACCACTTAAGCAAAAAGAAAAAAGCTGGAAGTGGCATTGTGGCTCAAGTGGTAGAGCACTAGCCTTGAGCTGAAAAGCTGAGGGACAGCGCCCAGGCCCAGAGTTCAGGCCCCACGACCAGACCCAAAAAAAAAGAATTTTTCTGTAGCCCACATCATAATTTACTGGCTTTTAAACCTCAGGCATATCCCTTTATCACATCAGTTTTCTCACCTGAGAAAAAGAGATCAAATAATGGTAACAAACTTGGTTCTGAATTATTCCATAGCACCACTTACTGGCTTTATCCCTTCAGTCTTCTCATTAACAAAAAAGAATGATAGTAGAAATCTTTGAGGCGTTTTGTATAGATTAAATGAAATAACAGCTTAATATTCTTTTATTGTGCCCTGGAAAATTGCAAGCATTAAAAAAACATTTCCTGCTGCTGTTAAACATGTTTGGTTTTTCAAAAAGCCCAATGTTGATGGTATTAAAAAAAAATTCATTTTGAGGTTGAACTTAAGACTTTCAGCCTGCTAGGGATACATGCTACAGGTTGAGCCAGGTTTCTACCCTGTTTTTCCATTGGTTATTTTCCAGTTATGGTCTCAATGCCTAAGCTGGCCTGGGTTGTACTTCTCAGTGTCACTTCAGGTGACAGATGCATGCCATTGTGTCCAGCATTGGTTGAAATGGAGTCTTTAACCATCATCCCTGGATCTTTATCTCCCAAGTAGCTAGGAGCACAGGCATGTCCCATTAATGTTAACAGATTTGTTTCCTTGTTTTTACTTAAAAGTTTGTAGACAACCAAAGTTAAGGAACTCATTTGTTTTATTATGCCTTTAACTGACTTGTAAAATGTTTTTTTCCTGTGTAAATAGATGCAGTAAAACGGAGAACTCTTCCAGCTTGGATTCGTGAAGGTCTCGAAAAAATGGAACGTGAAAAGCAGAAGAAATTGGAAAAAGAAAGAATGGAACAACAACGTTCACAGTTGTCCAAAAAAGAAAAGAAGGCCACTGAAGATGCGGAAGGAGGAGATGGTCCTCGTTTACCTCAGAGAAGTAAATTTGTAAGTAGACTCATCTGAAAATTTTATCCTGAAAAGTTTATTGAAATGAATATTTTAGCCCATAGGAAAATACTCGTGTCACAATGCATGATGGGTTTTGTGTTTTTATATATGTGCTATTGAGGATGGATTAAGGAGAAAAAGGGGCTTTATTTCAGAGAGATATTATTACATATGATCTTATTGTTTATAAATAAATAAATCCATGATCTTAAATTATTGTGTACCTGACTCTAGTGGATTCAGTGAAACAAAAGTATTCAGTGGCATAGGAGGAATAAATGTGCCTTGCGAATATTTAGATGTACTTACACTTGGAGATAAAATAATTTTTATTGTTTTTGACATGAGCACTGAAAGTAACAATGTTTTAAATACCTGAGCTCTTCTGTGCAGGACTAGCACCCCTGCCACTTGAGCCAAAGCTCCACTTCAGACTGTTTTTTATGTATGTTCTGGTCATGGGGCTTGAGCTCAAGTCTTGAGCACTGTCCCAGAGCTTCTTTTGCTCAGTCTGGTGCTCTACCACTTGAGCCATAGATTCATCTCTGTTTTTTTCTGTGATTAATTGGAGATGAATCTCATGGACTTTCTTGCCTAGGCTGGCATTGGACCATGATCCTCAGATCTCAGTCTCCTGTGTAACTAGGATTACAGGTGTGAGCCACAGGCTCCCGGCTTCACTTTAGGCTTTTTGGTAGTTCATTGGAGATAAGAGTTCATTGGATTTTAACTGCCTGCCTGGGCTGGCTTGGAACCCTGATCTTCAGATTCAGTCTCCTAAATAGCTACAATTACAAGCATGAGCCACCAGAGCCTAGCTCATAATTCCTTCTTTACTCTTTCATTTCTTTCCACATTACACTTTTTCAACTTACCAAATGAAGTTACCAAATTACAAAAATGTAATTTAAAGGCTGGAGCCCTGTCTCGAGAAAAGAAAATAGAAAATCTGGTTTGTCTTAAATAATTTAAAAACTTACTTAAAAATATAGAGACTGGAGATGTAGCTCAGTGATAAAGTACCTTTCTTTGTATCCATGAAGCATTACTTTGATCCTCAGTACCCAAAAAGAAATGTCACACAATTCAGAAATGAATTTTACCTTTACATTTCTCTTATCAACTGTGCATTATAAGCATAAATTCAGGCTACCATATTGTTTTTACAGGATAGTGATGAGGAAGATGAAGATGCTGAAAACATTGAGGCTGCAAGCAGTGGGAAAGTTACCAGAAGTCCATCTCCAGTTCCCCAAGAAGAACATAGCGAACCAGAGATGACTGAAGAAGAGAAAGAGTATCAGATGGTAGAATGTCAAATTTCTTACCATGTGCAGGGTTTATTTTGTTTGTAATGTTTTAAAAGTATTAATTTTATAAAATGTTTAAACTGAGAACTCAGAAAAATTGTAAAGTACATACACGTTTTGTCAGGCAAATTGTGTCTAAAATTTGAGATGGTACACCTATCTCCTTTCCCACTGCTCAATATTCAGATAGTAATTAAAATACAAAATTGTGGCCTATCAAGTAGTTATTAAACTTATTTCGTAATTCCAATGATAAAATTAAATAATATTTTACTATATGAAAACCAGAGGAACTTTTATTGATTTGTTTTCTGAAGTGTTTCTTTTAAATAGAAATACTAAGAAATATTAAAGGAATTGAGGGGGAAATAGGTTTAGACTGAACAAAGTTAATACTTTTTTAGTGTAAGAACATACTTCTGTGTAAAAATTCCTTAAGCTTTTATAATTGTTATGTTGTCAGATTTTGAATCTGTTGCATTTCTCATATTGAAAGAGTCATGAGTTTTGGAATGCATTTAGAAGATGCTAATTTGGTCAACTCTAATTTTAGTAAGATGAGTAAATCAGAGGCAGAGAGAGACTGGAGAACTAAGAATCTGCATTTCAAATAGTTGTTGGTAGCCAATCCAGAGCTAACATCTAGCTCTTCAAATTGTGCTCTCCATTTTATATTGTGTTATCTCTTACTTAAGGATGTTACAGTTTATGAGTAGTAGAACTTCAGCAGAATGGAGTAATATCCTTCTTATTTTTTTTAAAGTTATATTAATTTTTTTGGTGGGTCTAGGCTTTTGTGCTGTTTAAGACTCTTCATTCTTTCACGGATCTATGCCTAGATCTCAATCTTATTTTTTGCTTTCCACTGTGTCTAGGATGACATGCATGAGCTGTCATATCCAGCTTCTTCCATTGAGTTGGAGTTGCATGGACATTTCTGCTGAGGCTGGCCTGGATCTTTCATCTTCTTAATCTCAGCTTCCAACATAGCAAGGATGACACATTCATTACCCTACCCAGCTATCACTTAGGAAGAAAATCTCTTAAACATTTCTGTTCCAGTTGGCTTTGAACCTTGATCTTTCTAGTCTCAGCCTCTTGAATAGCTAGAACTGTAGTCATGAGCTGCCTTCACACAGTTTCCCCTTTATTTATTTTTTTTTGGTGCCAGGTCTGGGGCTTGAACTCAGCCTGGGCACTGTCCTTGATCTCCTTTTGTTCGAGACTAGCACTCTACCACTTGAGCCACAGTGCCACTTTTGTTTTTTTCAGTAATTAATTGGAAATAAAAATCTCATAGACTTCACTGCCCCAGCTGACTTTGAACCAGGATCCTTAGTTGTCAGTCTTCTGAGTAGCAAGGATTATAGGGGTGAGCCCCCTGTCTTTGGCTCCTCTTTAGACTTGTAATTTAACCTTTGGAAGTGACTTAAGAAAGTAGTAATGTAAACCTTACCAGTGTTACTAAATAAAAGTAGTATCCTTTTAATAAAAGTATACTTTTAATGAAGAGTATTCTTTTATTTGATATACTATGATACTAAATAATATGTATTAGTATATAATAATAATAGTATGTTTTTTGGTATTCTCTAGTATGGTTTTATTTGGTAATGTGCTCTACTTAAAGCACTCATAGAATTTTTTAATAATAGAGAGCCTGTTAAGTTTCTTACTTTTTTGTGTCTAAAGTAAGGATTCAGTGACTATGCATGGATGTATAGTTTTTCTTTGATACTTATGATTTTGAAATATTTTCAGGCTTTGGTGTTTTAGAATAATGTTTAAAATATTCTTTTTTTAGGAATGGCTAGTCTGATCTGTTTCTTTGCATTTTAATTTAGAAAACAAGCAGTAATTATAACTAAGTTGGAAATGCTATATAAAATATTTGTCTTTAGATGTTGCTGACAAAAATGCTTCTAACTGAAATTCTGCTGGATGTCACAGACGAAGAAATTTATTATGTAGCCAAAGATGCACATCGGAAAGCAACGAAAGGTATATTGTGGGTGTTCTTGGTTTGTGGGGGAATTTTGGCTTCTTGAACATTTGGACTTTTTGTTTTCCTCTGGATTGCTATCAGATATTTATATATTCTCTTCTTGCATGATTTAACTCTTGGGGAAAGATTAGATATGTAGACACCATATTGAGACTATACAATTCTATTTATATATATTTTTTATCTGTCCTACCTGAAAATAGCAATCACGCTGTTGTCCTGAAAAATGTATTGTGGAAAATTCCTGGTGTTCAGTTTATCTTACCTGATTTAAGTTTATTTCATCATGATACCAGGGTATTGGTAGATGGCTTGTAAATACAGTTTATTGTGACAGTGAATTTTAAATTATGAACCTTGAGAATTTTCAATTTAATCAATTGCAGCTTTTACAAAAGCAAGTAATTTCTACCCTTCCCCATGATTTTAGTAACACTTAAAAAAATAAAAACCATAACTCATACCAGAATTAGACATAACAGTCAACATTTTTCTTCATTATAAACCAATTTCAGCTCACATCAGAATTATAATTTCAAAGCCAGACATGCTACTGGTTTAAAATGAATGTTATGTTTTTAATGTTTCTTCTCTCCCCAAAAAGCAGCAATAGTAGTAGATTTAACAATACCATAGACTCTCATGACTATGAAATCGTGGCTATTTGTGTTAACATGTTGCTCCTGTTGTTGATGTGATACAAAGCTCCTGCAAAACAGCTGGCACAGTCCAGTGCACTGGCTTCCCTCACTGGACTCGGTAAGTGTTTTCCTTATTTGTGAGAGGGCCTAAAGGGAAAATACGCACTTACCTTGTCTTTCTACATGTTCTGTGTTGACACTGGATTATTCCTACTCAGTTAAGAAACCTAAGCTTCTGTGTCACTAAGAGATTGACTCTTTTTTTTTTTTTGACTAAAATATTCACAGTGGAACGATTAAAAATGTAATTAATTCAGTTTATTGGGGCAAGTTGAATGGAAAATTTCCTTATTAATTGCTCCAATATGTGATATGTGTGTATGGATATGAATATATATATATATATGTATGTGTGTAGGTATATATATATATATATATATATGTATGTATAGTTTGTATATATATGTATAGGTCATTTAGCCACAATAGTATCTAAAGTCACTTTGAGAATTATTGCATACATATTTTAGGGATTTATCTATCCACTAATGCTTATAATGACTTACATAAATTGCATTGCAGCAAGTCAAGTATTAACATAGAGGGAAAGGGTTTTTTTTGTCATGGTATAATAGTAGTGCTAGATTGAAATTTTGCTAATTGCATATTATCCAAGACTCTAAAGTTTGAATTTGCCTTTTCCATGTTTTATGTTCATTTCTGTTAGGAAGAAGGGAGAGGGGTAGGATAAAGTGCCATGTGGTTTTGTTACAATAATTACTTGGATCACTTCAGGGTGGGGAGTTCATTCCATTTCTGTGCCAATAAGAATTACAATCTTCTAATTTTTAAAGGAAAAAAAATGCTTAACATCCTATCAGATTCTAAAAGTATGAAGAATAAAAGAGTCCATGTTAAAAATACTTTCAGGATCACCATAAATTTTATTAAGATAGTTGAATTGGTTAAGTTTTAATGAGGCTTCATTATTGCCCTGTTAAATGGTTATGTATGCCTGCCATTATTCTAATTCTTTAAGGGTGTAAAATGTTTCCTTGCTTGAAACATTTACAAAGAACACTATGTAACTGTTGTCTGAGGGTTCGTTGAACTCCTTAAACATTTGAATTTATGCCTCTACCCACCTGGAATAAACATATCTTCCAGGAAAAGGCAATGAAAAAAAAGAGCTTTCTTCTCTAATCTTAAAAAGTTTTTAGTGGAGCGCATGTCTTTTTCATATGATAGACTGAGCTTTATGCACACAGGTGGACTGGGTGGTTATGGATCAGGAGACAGTGAAGATGAGAGGAGCGACAGAGGCTCTGAGTCATCTGATACTGATGATGAAGAATTACGGCACCGAATCCGGCAAAAACAGGAAGCTTTTTGGAGAAAAGAAAAAGAACAGCAGCTATTACATGATAAACAGATGGAAGGTAAATTTTTTTAGATTTATGTAGTTTATGTCCGGTTTTATATGAACTTTTTTTTTTGTCATGGGGCTTGAACTCTTGGCCTGGGTGCTGTCCCTCAACTTTTCAGCTCAGGGTTATTCTCTATCACTTGAGCCACAGCACCACTTCTGGTTTTCTGGTGGCTAATTGGAGATGAGTCTCAAGGACTTTCGTACCTGGGCTGGCTTTGAACTGTGATCTTCAGACCTCAGCCTCCTGAGTAGCTAGGATTACAGGCTTGAGCCACCAAAGCCCAGCTATAAACTACTTTTAAAGCAAAACTAAAAAAAAACAAAATTTGGTGCTAGATGAATAATACATGACGTACCTTCAATCAATTGTTTTTGTTTTTATTTTAGAATTTATTTTAGTATCTGTAGACATTATTTCTTATTAAAATTGTTGAAATGAAAGCCAAGAAATGAGGAAATATTTAAATACATTATTGGGCAGGGTAGCACACATGGCCTTGTAATCAGTTATGTAGCCAGCAGAGACTTTCAGGTCATCCCAAGTAAAAATATTTAGCCAGCCCCCATATTAACAGATAAGCCAGGCATGGTGGTACATGGCATTTGGAAAAGGCAACGAGTAGGAAAATCACTATTCAAGGCAAAATGTATGAGACTGTTTGTGGAAAGATTAAAGCAAAAAGGGACAGAGCATTTCTCAAGAGATAGAGTGCTTGTTTAACAAGCAAAAGGCCTTAAGTTCAAGTCCCAGTAGTGCCAAAAATAAACTGATAGCTGACTACTTGTAGCTATTAAATGTATGTATACAGATATGCCACAGATATAAAAGATTTTGAAAATTTAACATGAAAGAAAAAGCTGAATGTTTCTCTAAGTTTAATTGATTACATATTAGAGTAATTAATTTTACCCTGGTACTGGTGGCTCATACCTCTAATACTAACTCCTTAAGAGTCTGAGATCTGAGGATCACAGTTTGACATCAGCCTGGGCAGAAAAGTCCATAAGACTGCTGCCCTCTAATGCTGGCAGTCTACCTCTGCTGTGAGACTATTATTTCCAATTAACTAGCAAAAAGCTATAAGTGAACGTGTGGCACAAGTAGGAGAGTGCCAGCCTTGAGCAGAGTAGGCCAAGTGAGACCTCTAGGCCTTCAGTTCAAGCACTAGTACTTGCACCAAAAAATGATAACATTTTAGATATATTGGGGTTGTAAAATACTGAAATTAATTCACTTGTTTCTATCTTACCTGTTTGTGTGGCTCCTACAAAGTTCTGAATTATGCTAGGTGCTTGTGGCTCACACCTATAATCCTTGCTACTCAAGAGGCTGAGATTTGCAGATCACACTTCAGAGCCACCCTTGGGCAAGTGGGCAAGAAAGTCCATAAGACTCTCATCTCCAGTTAAGCTCCAAAAAAGCTGAAAAGGCTGTGGCTCAAGTGGTAGAATACTAGCTTTAACCAAAAATGCTCAGGGACATTGCCCAGGCTCTGAGTTCATGCCCCAGGACTGGCACCAACAACAGCAAAAAGCTTATGTTTCTTATTTTTGTTTTAGTTTGCTAACTTCATTTTTACTAATATGAGAATTTTTCATTTTATTTTCATCTTAAAATTTTTTTGTCTTGTTCTCTTGCAGAAGAAAAACAACAAACAGAAAGGGTTACAAAAGAGATGAACGAATTTATCCATAAAGAGCAAAATAATTTATCAATACTAGAAGCAAGAGAAGCAGATGGTGATATGGTTAATGAAAAGAAAAGAACTCCAAATGAAACTACATCAGTTTTAGAACCCAAAAAAGAGCATAAAGAAAAGGAGAAACAAGGAAGGAGTAGATCAGGGAGTTCTAGCAGTGGTAGTTCCAGCAGCAATAGCAGAACGAGTAGTACTAGTAGTACTGTCTCTAGTTCTTCATACAGCTCTAGCTCAGGTAGTAGTCGCACTTCTTCTCGGTCTTCTTCTCCTAAAAGGAAAAAAAGACATAGTAGGAGTAGATCTCCAACAATAAAAGCTAGACGAAGCAGGAGTAGAAGCTACTCCCGCAGAATTAAAATAGAGAGCAACAGGGCTAGGGTAAAAATTAGGGATAGGAGGAGATCTAATAGAAGTAGTATTGAAAGAGAAAGACGAAGAAATCGGAGTCCTTCCCGAGAGAGACGTAGAAGTAGAAGTCGCTCAAGGGATAGACGAACCAATCGTTCCAGTCGCAGTAGGAGTCGAGATAGGCGTAAAATTGAGGATCAACGTGGAAATCTTAGTGGGAGCAGTCATAAGCATAAAGGTGAGGCTAAAGAACAAGAGAGGAGAAAGGAGAGGAGTAGAAGCATAGACAAAGATAGGAAAAAGAAAGACAAAGAAAGGGAGCGTGAACAGGATAAAAGAAAAGAGAAACAAAAAAGGGAAGAAAAAGATTTTAAGTTCAGTAGCCAGGATGATAGATTAAAAAGGAAACGGGAAAGTGAAAGAACATTTTCCAGAAGTGGCTCTATATCCGTTAAAATCATAAGACATGATTCTAGACAGGACAGTAAGAAGAGTACTACCAAAGATAGTAAGAAGCATTCAGGCTCTGATTCTAGTGGAAGGAGCAGTTCTGAATCTCCAGGAAGTAGCAAAGAAAAGAAGGCTAAGAAGCCTAAACATAGTCGATCGCGATCCATGGAGAAATCTCAAAGGTCTGGTAAGAAGGCAAGCCGCAAACACAAGTCTAAGTCTCGATCAAGGTAGTATACTTTTTAAAGTATTTTGTCTGATTTTTTAAAAAAAAAATTGACTGAATTTATTCAAAGTTGAAAGTGTCCTTTCTCTCTCTCTTTAATAAACTCAGTTTGGTACTTGATAAATGATCATAGTTTTAAATAATGTTAGAAATCCTATAAAATAGTATTTATTGAAAATTGCAGATTTTCAGTCTAAAATACATTTTTATTTTTAAATTTTGTCTTTTCCCTTTTTTTTTCAGATCAACAACCCCTCCCCGTCGTAAGCGCTGAGGAATGATGTTGGCAAGAATGCCATGATGTTGTTTAAAAAAATTCCATGAGTTTTAAGGGCTTGTCTCATTATAGAGGCACAATGTGGCTGTGTAGGTGAAACCAGAATTTTTTTTTTTTAATCTGTAAATAGGTGTACTTTTTCCAAATGCTGCTCCAAGTTACTTAATAGGATTTCTTTGTATTACATTTTTTCAAGAAATAGTGCATAATAAGACTATAAATATGCCATTCTCTTTCAGCTGTAATGTTCTTAAAATTATTCTTGAATGTACTGTGATGTCAATAAAGCTCTTTAGTTCATTTTTGTTAAATTCTTGCACCTTAATTTTATGATTTTAATCTAAGGAACGTACTTTTATAAAAAGGCAGCTGGAAATTTGTATAACAGGTTTTAAAGGTACTTCCTCCCACCTTCCCCAAAGAAAATGGTTTTAACTTAATAAGTTTGTCAAAGTTTGTATATTGTACCCATGGACTTGTCAAATTTCAACTTTCAGGGTGTGGAAGAGGGCCAGAAAAGACCTTTATTTTTCATTTGAAAGCACTTGATTGGCTTTCTAAAGTTTTCTTCTTATTTTGGGGATTTTTCTCTGTGTGTATACAATATGGTTCACTCCTGTAAAATGAAATTGCTAAAAACCAATCAAGCCAATGCACCAGTAGAGTTACTTGTGATGAAAAATTGTGTTTGACACTAATAGTCAAGTCTGAAACTATACAGTCACCCACTTCTGTTTTACAGGCATATTTTAACACCATGGGGTTACTATGGAAATGGAACTTATAATTCAATATATTTATTTCTATTTTTAAAGTATATGATCTAAACTCAGCAGGGGAATACTGTATTATACAGGCTTATATCAGTTACAAAAGAATAAAATGGTCTGATTTGTCAGTTTAAAAATAATGATGAGTGGGTGGTCTAGTTTAAGGCAGTCATAACTTATGAGTGAAATGAGGCTCTCAAGGCATTTTAACTTAAGTGCTCAACTGCTTTCAGGGTCCATTTTTTATTATGACTACGCATTTATGCAGTGATAGTTGAGTCTTTGAAAACAAATGCTTTAATGTTTTAATTTAAAAAGTAAAAGCAAGTGCAGGACACAAAAAGTTTTAAAGTATGCCTTCTTACCAGCAATAGCTCATTTTAAAAATAATGCCAGATTTTTGCCAAGATCAGTGTTCCCTCAAAATGAAGATAAAATAGATTTGTATGGTGTGCTCTTGTACCTCTAGTAGGTTCTTAAATAATTTTGAGCAGTTATGCATTTATCTAAAGGAAATAAATCAACTGTGAATAAATGCATGTTTACCAAAATGACTGTTTACAGTGCATTTAGTTCTGATATTTATAAAGTTGACATTTCACAGAACAACTTTACGATAGTTTGGATTTCTATATAGTTTAGTCATCAGTGTAACATCTGGAAATAAAGGAAAATGTGCAGTATTTTTTATGTAGGTGAACTAACACAGTGTATCTAATTGAAAAACTATCTGGTTAATTTGTAATAAGTTGTATAACATTTTTTGAATCTTAAAATGTTTTTAGATCAATCTTCAAGTGAAATATTATTTTCAAAATAAAATTCTACATAAAAATTATCCTGGCTATGATATACACATTTTTGGATAAGAGCTAGAGCCAAAAAAACAAGTAATGTTTTTAACTGTCACAATTTCCAAGGTTCTTATCAGTTTAAACCTGTAGATTTAAAACCCAGTGCATCATGACACTTGTATTAGTAGATATGTCAGTGTAATAATTAGATATTAGAAATTTTCAGATTTTTATCAATAATGTAGAGAATTCCCTTTACATGTGATTTAGTGTTTAACTTGAATGGCAAGAATTTATAAACTAGGGCTTTTAAAATGTTGAATGTTAAAATGTTCACAAAAGTTAGGTTGAGGATAATTTGTTATAAAAATCTTTTCTAAAAAGATACCAGAAAATTAATAGATTCAGCTTTTTGAGACAGACCTTGATATGGATTGGTTAATACAAACTAAGAGAGTCTCTTAAAATATTTCTAGTGAATTAGTCATCCTTGTTTTTGTGGAGTGAGGGTAAACCACACCATTAACAGAACAAGATGTAATTTGGAAGAAGTACTTATAATTTGTTTCAGGTCCCAAAATATAAATAAAGATTGGTGTGGAATCTCATTAATGTACATGTTTTTTGCCATTGTGATATGCTTTTGTTGCCTTCTAATGGGGTAGTACACAACAGACATTTTCTAACAGTCTATTTTTTTTTCTTTCTCAAAGATATACATGACGTCTACTAGTAGGTTTAAAAATGTTTTCATTTGAGAATTTATGGGAGTCATTTTAAGTTCTTATGCATACTTTCACATTTAAGTCTTCTCACACAACTTATTGCAATTTCTACACTATACTGTTATCGTTTAATGGAAGTAATAAGTATTAGAGTTAAATTAACCTGTCTGGTAACTTAATGGTTTTGGAAAATCACCCAACTTCATCAGCTGTGTAAGGAAAAAATTAGATAATCTCCAAGGTCTTAGACACTTTAGTTTTAAGTACTATTTATAATCCCCAAAATTTAAAAGAGAAAATAAGTTTTTTTTTTTTTTATCGGTTCTTAGATTAGTACACCTAACGAGTTACATTTGTACCATAACGTTAACCAGGCATCATCCACAAATTTTCCTGTTAGTGCATTTGTTATGTCTATCACAGTCTTATAATATTTCAAATTATATAGTTATCCTAAGTTGACAAATTGGCTAGAATTTTTTGGTAAATAAGGAAACAGTTAAAACTGAGTGGTTATATTTCAAAGCAGAAAACTTGGTTACCTTTGCTTTAGTGAAAAAATGCACATAAAGCAATAAACTACAGAATATTAAATAGGCATTAAAAGATTCCTGATAAAATCAGTATTTACACAACAAGTTTATGGGTGAGACCACAGAGATAGTGTAGGCAATAACCTCATGTATTGTATTACAGTCCACACAGCTTTAAACACACTCAGGTTCAGTGGTCATTGGAAAAGCTTTTGTTGATGCTTGTAGAGAAAAGTACTTTGAACTAGTTTTGTATATCTGGTTCTGGGGGTTTTAAAGAAAATGTTTTCCTATTCAGGCAAACCACTGCCAAATGTGAGAAGGCTCAAACTCCCAAAGCGATGCGATACAAAGAATACACTTACAAAGTTCTTAGAACTTTAATCACATTTGCACTCTGGGTTTTTCCTTGGTTTATCTCTCCAAACACATACAAGACAGGCCAAGTTTCCTTCTGTGCTATTTCTGCCTTATATTTAGGGAGTGGAACTCAGAAGACTGGTTGGAGACCTTCCAAGCAGTAATGTCAAAGGATCCAATTAAAGGACCCCTGGCTTATTTGACCCTGACTTGAACATATGAGACGTTTTATGTCTTAAATCTTGGCTACCACGTTCAAGGCCCTAGAAGTTGGCCCAGAGTGAGTGCTACTCTTTGGGGATTATTTTGGTGTTAGGTTTTAGTGGTAGGGTCCTTTTGCTTCTGTAGCTGTCACGGCCACCGCCATGCCCAGCCACTGGTTGGATGTGGACTTGTGAACTTTTCATTCCCTGGCTGGTGTACCTTGTTCCCAGATTTCTGGCTCCCCAGTAGCCAGGACTACAGGCCTGAGCACTGAGTGATAGTCTTTTGCCGGATAATGTGTGTTGATGTGAGTTGGGAAACCCTTCAGAATTAGTGCGTTTGAGTCTGGAAAGGAAACTGCTGCCCTTGGAGAAGAAACGCCTCCAAACTCCTGTGTGTGCAGCCGTGTAAGACCAGTGTGTTCGGGCTAGCGGGGGGACTCGGTGGTACCGTGTCCTGGAGGAGAGGGCGCAGCGCCCAGCGGTGGCACCCCCACCGCCGGACACCCAGGCGGGAACCACGCCGCAAACCCACCGCGGCCGGAGTGGGCGCGGAACCTTTCCTTTCCGTCGGCGATCCGGAGGGACGGACCGGAAGGGGAGTGGCACTGTAATCGCAATGTGGGGACGCCGGGCCTGGGGCTCCTGGGAGACTCGGTTTTTAGGAAAGTTTACGTCTGGACTCCGGGGCCCAAGAGCCGAGCGTCCCAGGGTCGCCTCGTGGGCGGGTGAGTGTGCGCGGAATTCCTTCCCACGGCGCAGGGCGTTCTGCGCAGGCGCGGCGGCAGGCCGGGGGCGGGGGGCGGGGGGCTGCGCTGGCCGCTGGTTTGCGCGAGGGCGGCGTCTCGGCCCCGGGCCTGCGTGGAATCCCGGATCTGAGTGCTGTCCTCCCGCTGGACTCGGTTCTCCCGGCTGAGGGAGAGCCGAGGCCCGCCGTCCGGCCCCGCGACAGCCCGCCCCGGAAGACACCTGCTGCGCTCCCAAGTGCTCCACTGCGGACGTCAGTGCTCGGAATGCTCGCAGTTGGCGTCATTTGTCCAGAACTTAAGGCAGCAGCTAAGCTTTTTTGGGCTAGTTCATTATTTGCAAATAAGATCAAGGAAATAATTGATTATATTCGGTGCTTGTGGATAAGTCTGGTTATTGAAGTCTATTGTCACTATTATTATTGTTGTTGTTGCTTGAAGTCGGACCGGGCGCTGTCCCTGAGCTCGTTCACTCAGGGTAGTACTCAACCATTTGAGCCACATGTGAGTAGTTTATTGGAGCTAGTAGTTCCACAGACTTTTCTGCCTGGGCTGGCTTCAAACCACCATCCTCAGACCTCAGCCTCCTGAGTAGCTAGGATTACAGACGTGAGCCACTAGCACCCAGCTAAACTTTTAGTATTATTTACGAGAGAATTAAGTTCATCCCTCACAGGGAACTCATTAACTGTTGTTTGGTAAGAACTCTTAGAGACACTGAGAATCTAAAATGAATTACACTTCGAAAGAGGTTTTTAGAAAATGTTCAAATAGAACTAAAATCAAGATATAATGAAGAAAATAATGGAAAATCAATCCACCAAGAGACTTGATTAGTCATTTAAAAAGAAAACAGGACAAATCAGATGAAACAACCACAAAACACAATACCAACTATTTAAATCCATTTATCTCCATATGGGAAAATGATTAAGGGCTGTGTGTGTGTGTTTGTGAGTCCTTGTGTGTCCTTGTACATGCCCACACCAATAATGGAGCTTAAATCTAGGACTTCACTGTCTTGCTTACCCTCCCCCCCCCACCTTAACCTGGTACTTTACCACTTAAGCCACACCTCCAGTTTCAGCTTTTTATTCATCAATTGGAGATAACATTTTTTTAGATTTGTCTGCTCGAGTTGAATTCAAGGTTTCTAGAGTCAGCTTCTTGAGTAGCTAGGATTACAAACATTTGCTACCAGCTCCAGGCTAGTGTGTAACACAGAATTAAGTTTTTATTATATATTATGAATATGGACATATAGATAGAGCTATCTATCTGTCTATCTATCTATATATGTATATCTAACTTTAACAGTGATTACCTGTAGTGGAGTAGGTGATTGTCTATCATCATCCTTTAAGTACTTTTTTTTCTGAACTGTTTTTCATTAAGCATGTGTGTCTTATATAATCAGAAATGTAGGGGGGAAAACCAAGCCATAGGCTTCAGTTTGAAGGATAACCATAGAGGAACATCTGCCTAATATTCAGGATTCGGGAGAGTTTGGGGAAATAAAAATTTTTCCTGAAAAGTAGAGTATGGATGGAATATGGGCAGTGAAGGAAAGGGATGAGCAGAGAACATTAATGGTCATGACAAGTTCATAAAAAGCCACACATAACCTGAGATTTTCTTTTCCTGAGGATGTGAGAAGCAACGCCATCAGACTTAGAAATAACATTTGGCAGTTCTATAGCATATGGAGCTCTAAGACAGTCCTGAGAGGAATCCAGATATTGAATGCTTGTTAAATACTGAATATATGACTTAAATGAAGTTCTTCCTCTCTCTACATTCCTTTAAATACTAGGATTCAAATGAGAGAAGGAATTGGTAATGTGCTGTTTAAAATTTAAGCTCAATTGGTCACTTTATGTTGTGGGAAGGAGGATTTTAAAGCTCCTGAGAATTCTAGCAATACTCAAGACTAATTTTCCAGAAATACAGGGAGTCAAAAGAAGTCCAGTGGTTGGCACTGAGTAGAGGCAAGTACTGTTAAAGTCTCTGAGGTGGTTTATCTCTGGGATGTGTTTTGTTTGTTTTTTGGTGCCAGTTCTGGGGCTTGAACTCAGGGCCTGGGTGCTGTACCTGAGTTGTTTTTTTTGTTTGTTTGTTTGTTTTTTTCTCAAATCTAGCACTCCATCCACCTCTCCATCTAAGGCTTCTTGGTGGTTAATTGGAGATGAGAGCCTCATAGACATTCCTACCTACGCTGGCTTCAAATCAAGATCCTTCGATCTCATCCTCCTGAGTAGCTAGGATTGCAGACAAGAGCCACTGGCCCAGCAAAATCTCTGAGGAGGTTTAGTTCTATAATACTTTGTATTTCCTTACTTGTATATTGAAGTTTATGTAATTTTATATAACATCTTATTTACCTGCCTAAACTCATAAACTCATAAAGGACCTTATAAGGTAGACATGATAGAGTTGATGGAAGAGGGAATAATATGAGCAAAAGCATAGAAGCTCCAGGTGCTAATGACTCATGCCCGCAATCCTACTTTGGAGGTTCAAGGTTTGAAGCCAGCTACAGCAGGAATGTCAGTGAAAGTCTTGTTGCCAATTAACCACTAACAAAAAGCCTGCAATGAAGATACTGTTTAAGTGGTAGAGTCCCCACCTTCAGTGAAAAGGCTAAGTAAGGGACAGTGCGTAGGCCTTGAATTCAAGCCCCACTATCAGCGCACACACAAAAAAGCCCTAAAAGCATGAATTTCTTTTAGTGTGCATGATAACTTTGAAATGGATTTGGGCCAGACTGAGAATTACTCATTTTAAAAAAGAGAGAACAAACACAATAAAGGATGGCGAGCATACTTAAAATCTAATTAAGATAGCTAATATTAAATTAACATGAAAGGTGGCTCACACCTGTAATCCTACCTGTTCTGGATGCTAGAATCTGGATCATGGTTCAAAGCCAGCCTAGGAAGAAAAGTTTGAGAGACTGCATCTCCAATTAACTGGCAAAAAGCAGAGCTGGAGTAATGGCTCTAGTGATAGAGCACCATCCATGCAATCAAGCTGATCAAATGCAAAGCCCCAAGTTCAAATCCAAGTACTGTATAATAAAACTAAAACTGCTACAGATTACATTTAAATAACACTTTGTAATTTTGTATAATGTGTGTGCAAAAACTACTGGCCTGAAAAGCTTTTACTTAATATTATTACTCTCATTTCCTAATTATAATTTCAGAACTCTGGTTGGAATTAAATGGCAGAAAGCAAGAGCTTTATTATTGTTTTTTTCAAGAGCCTTATTTTTAAAGTCAAATAAATGGGGGGTAACAAGTTAGACAAGAAATGTAATCACTCCCTTACTTAGATAACTGTAACCTCTCTGTACATTACCTTGACAATATTTTTTTAAAAGTAAAATAAAAAATTAAGAAACTCCTTTATCAATTTTCATAATGAAGATTACCATATAAAGTAGAATTCTTCAGTTATATGAATTACAGAGTTCTTACTATGTGATGCTTTCCTCTAGATATTTAATTTTGGTTTTCTTTTCAGTTTACTCAGAAAATAAACTCAGTTGGTCTCTGCGAATTAAACCACAAGTTTTCAGTGAATACAAAACCATGTGGTTTAAACCTTGTAGGATGACTTTTTCCTATTTGAATAAAATAAAAAATTACAGGTAAGTTTATTTACATAATCATATACAATACTTATTGTATATGATTTATTTATTTAATATTTATTGTATATGTTTATTGATTATGTTTCATAAACTTGGTCAGCGTGTAATAGTTTATATGGTTTGACTATTTAAATATTCTTAATTTTTAGCAGCTTTTAGATTTAAAGTTTTTCAAGTCTGCTGGAAAGTCAATAAAAGAATACAGCATTACGCCTGTGCATACCTTCATTCAAATTCAGAGATTGTTTTTTAATGTATTATAAAATACTATATTGCTTGGAGAAGTTATTTTAATTTCTGTATAATATCCTTATGACAGACCACAAATAATGTCATTCTCAGGGCTAAGTGTATATGTCAGCAGTAAAGCACTTGCTTAGCACACAAGAGGACTTCACTGATTTTTTTTTTTTAAAGAAAAAGAACAAAAACCCTTATGCCTAAAATTATAAATGATTTCAGAGCAACATAAATATATAAGGTGGCTATATATGTATTTTAGCTAAAGTTGAGCTTGAGTAATATCTTTTGGAGTATTTATATTTTATAATCCAATTTCTGACCTTTTGAAAAATATTTCATAGCATTACAGCCATCACTGTGTTTTAGGTACTTGATCCTGCTTCTTGGAAGTATCACTTTTAAGACTGGGTGCCTCAGCTGAGCATCTACCTAGTGTTATCAATTATCATTTAGTCCTAGATTACTGCAGTTTTGAATGATATATGGAAAAGGAAATTAATGGTTTGTTGTTTTTTTTGATCGGTTGTGGGGCTTGAACTCTGGGCCTGGGTGCTGTCCCTGAACTCTTCAGCTCAAGGCTAGTGCTCTACTACTTGAGCCACAGTGATACTTCTGGTTTTCTGGTGGTTTATTGGAGATAAGAGTCTCACAGACTTTCCCATCTGGGCTGGCTTTGAACCGCAGTCCTCAGATCTCAGCCTCCTGAGTAGCTAGGATTACAGATGTGAGCCACTGGCACCAGCTGAAACTAAGGTTCTTAAGATAATATTGAAGAAAAGTGATATTTAAATTTTAAAAGGCTAAAGAGTAATGAGTGTAGTATGTATTCTCCATTTGGAAAGATTTAGCTTTACTCATAAAACATCCTTCTATAAGTTTGAATATATAGACTAGGTGAATGTTTATTTTAGGATGTAGTATATATACATACATATATTCATATATACATATACACATACATGCATTCATGCATACATACATATATACATAATACAAAATAAAATATGCATATATGAATATATTAATATACTTTTAGGCCCTCTATAAAGGCAGGTGAGCATATGTGAAATTCTATTGAATGTAGGTAACATGGAATTGACAGGATTTTTAGCTCTATTTGTAGCTTAGAAAAACTAAAAATTTGAATATTATTACCTTTTTTGAGTAATCTTACTATCTTTTACCTACTCTCAAGTGAGAGTATTTCTTCCTACTATACTATGACAGAACTCAATGCATTGTATAATTTTGGTTTTATGTTATTTTTATTTTAGGCAAAACATACTGAGTTTTCTTTCAGATTATTTGGCAGATGTCTCCTGAGTATCTTCTATGTTTCATGATCTGTGCTAATCACTAGGAACAAAATAGTAAGGGAGAGTCCATTCCTTGTCTGCCATTAGTGGATAACACAATCAAATATGTATAGTCCCATGAAGTACACATTAGTATAGGGGAATTAAAATAGGGGCATCTAGCTAGGTGCTGACTCACACCTGTAATCCTAGCTACTCAGGAGTCTGAGATCTGAGGATTATGATTCAAAGCCAATTGGGGCAGAAAAGTGTGTATTACTCTTATCTTCAGTTAAGTGGTAAAAAGCCAGAAGTGGAGGTATGGCTCAACTGGTAAAGCATCAGCCATCAGCCTTGAGAAAAAAAAATCATAGACATGGCCCAGGACCTAAATTCTGGCACTAAAAATTAAAAAAAAAAAAAAATAGGGAAATATGAGCCACTTTTGAAGAACAAGGAAGACATGGTAGACAACATTTTAAGATCTTGAAGGATGTTGCCGTGCGCCAGTGGCTCACGCCTGTAATCCTAGCTACTCAGGAGGCTGAGATCTGAGGATCGAGGTTCAAAGCCAGCCCAGGCAGGAAAGTCTGTGAAACTCTTATCTCCAATAAACCACCAGAAAACCAGAAGTGGCGCTGTGGCTCAAGTGGTAGAGTACTGGCCTTGAGCTGAAGAGCTGAGGGACAGGGCTCAGGCCCAGAGTTCAAGCCCTACGACCCACAAAAAAAAAAAAAAGATCTTGAAGGATGAGAAGAAATTAGTATAGAAAATGAAAGGGAGAATGTGGGGAAAATGCTCCAGGCACAAGGAACAATGTATACAAAGTACCCAAGGAAGAGTAAGCATGGTCAATTTGAAGAACTGAAAAAGACCTATGTTTCCAGAGGGGAGAATAACGAGAATAAATGGAGTTGAGTTTGGAGAGGGAGGAAACTGGGGACTAAATAATTCTCAATAGCTCTTGCTAGGGATTATAGTCTTTTGCTTCCACTTGGAAGCCTTTTGTTGTTGATGTTGGTGGTCATGGGGCTTGAACTCTGGGCCTGAGCGCTGTCCTTCAGGTCTTCAGCTCAAGGCTAGCACTCTACCACTTGAGCCACAGCGCCACTTCTAATTTTCTGGTGGTTAATTGGAGATAAGAGTCTTAGGGACTTTCCTGCCCAGGCTGGCTTTGAACTGTGATCCTCAGATCTCAGTCTCCTGAGTAGCTAGGATTATGGGCGTGAGCCACTGACTCCTAGCTTATGTGAGGAAATAATATGATCAGATGAGTATTTTTATAGCATGCAGTGCAGACTAGATAATGCCAGCCCTTAGAAGCAGTGATAATAGCCTTTATCTGGTAGAGTTGCCTGAAGGATTAAGAGAATATATTTAGATTTCCTAGCTACTGCCCGATATTTATTAAATTCTCAATAAATGGTAACTATAATTATTTTATTATTTTAAATGTGACCCAGAAGCCTACGTTTATATAATTCCATTTTCAGTTATAACTTACTTCCAAAGTCAATTAATTTTCTTTTTCTGTGAATGTATGTATATATAATCATAATCATATATATGATATGTATCTCGTAATCATAGTGCTCATATTAATCATATATCTCATAATCCTACTGCATATCCATATAAGCAGTATGATATATAGTTGCAGAATGATTATGAGAGTGCTTGGTTGTAAAGCATCAAAACTGAAAAAATTATGTATTTAGGATCTAATGACATATGAAAAAGAATGTCTTTCTACACGGTATCTTACAAGATAAGTTTTCTATAACAGCGGTATTTGCTTGGATCTTTGTTTTCACCTGTTAGGTCCCCTTGGAAAAAATCATACAGTACTTCACAAACCACTGTCGACAGCAGTGAGGTGAAAACCTTCAGGGCCCTGGCTGACAAGTGGTGGGATGAGCAAGGAGTCTATGCACCTCTTCACTCTATGAATGACCTGAGGGTGCCATTCATTAGGTAACACTTCCAACTCTTAATTTTTCCTTTTTACTTAAAAATATATATATATCCTTACCATGTATTTTACTATCATTTGCCCTCCATCATTCTCTTTAAAAACTGCAGCTCTTTTTAATAATCCATCCACTTTGCATCCACTTTTCTCTTAGTTTACACTTAGGTTCAAAATGCTGTAACTTGCCTCATGATGGTGGCTCACGCCTGAAATTTTAAATACTCAGGAGGCTAAACTCTGAGGACCATGGTTTGAAGTGAGCTCAGGTAAAACAGTCTTAACCAGCAAAGAGCTGAAAATAGAGGTGTGGCTCAAGTAGTGCAGCACCAGCCTTTTATTTTGTTTTGTATTGTTTTATCTGAGCAGCACAAACAAAATGAAACAAATGGATAGGTTTGTTTTGAAAATTAGGGAGAGTCTCTTCAATGTCCAGCATGTGAAACCATGTACTTTTACTAACATCAAAGACCTAGGCTCTTTTTACAGCTTAACTTGAAGCAGTTTTGGACATATTAGGTAAATTTGAATTAAATTATTTTTCTTTGGAGGTGTGTATGTGTATGCTTGAACTCAGGGCCTCGGTGCTGTAACTGAGCTTTTGTACTCAAAGCTAGCAATCTACCACTTTGAGCCACAGCTCCACTTCTGGTGTTCTGGTGGTTAGTTGGCGATAAGAGTCTCAGAGACTTTCCTGCCTAGACTGGCTTCAAACCAAGATCCTTCCATCTCAGCCTCCTGAGTAACCAGGATTACAGTTGTGAGCCAGCTATACCTGGCTAAGAATTAAATTCTTTTTTTTTTTTTTTTTTTTGGTCAGTCGTGGGGCCTGAACTCTGGGACTGGATACTGTCCTCAGCTCTTCAGCTGAAGGATAGTACTCTACCATTTGAGCCACAGTGCCACTTCCGGCTTTTTCTGCTTATGTGGTGCTAGAAATCGAAGCCAAGGCCTCATGCATGCAAGGCTAGCACTCTACCACTGAGCCACCTTCCCAGCCCAAGAATTAAATTCTTATGTAAGGAATTAAGACATGGTGGCAGGTACACTCTTGTAATCCCAGCATTTGGAAGGCTAAGGATAGGAGGATCACAAGTGTGAGGCTAGATGGGCTACATAGCAAGAAGAAAAATGAAAGAAAATAAAATGGGGATTAATATTTTCTTAGAAATCGTATGTTTAAGACTTTCTTACTGATTACTAATTTTTTTACATGTTTTGAATTTTATTTTAAAGAGACAATCTTTTGACAACACTTGCCAATCACCAGCCAGGAAAACCTTTGTCTGGGCTGAAGATTCTCGATGTTGGCTGTGGTGGTGGATTATTAACTGAAGTAAGTGATTTAGAGTTGTTCTGATATTATTACCTTGATGGGGAAAATTGAGAACTCAACTTAGAGCTGATTTGTCTTTTTGACAAATAATAATGTTTATCTTTTAAATAAATAATGTTGATTTTTAGCCTTTTGGAAAGTTTAAAAGTATGTATCTTCAAATTTTTTTTTGCATGTGAAAATTTCAGGAAATATCCTGAAGATTTTTTATCGACAAATTTGATTATCTTAAAGGTTTTAGGTTTACAAAAATTGAGATAAAAGTACACTGATCTCATGTGCCCTACAATTCCTGTTGTATTTCAGTATGCTTTCAGAAAATTATACAGAAGGGTTTTTGTGCGGTCCTTTTACACTTGTGTAATAATAGATCCTCAGACTTTTATGTACTAGTGGGGCTTTTTCCATCTTAGATGATTTAGAGTAATTGGAAGAGTAGTAGTGAAGAATAATTGCTTTAGCTTAGCGTAAGTGTATACCTTTATATTCTGATGTCAGCACAGAAACTTTTTGCTGATGCTATATCATAATGTCTTGAAACATATTTTCAGTGACTAGGGGATTCAGAAATGCTAAGGTTTAATGGGATGTGATTACTGTCAAGGTCCATGACTCAGGCAGGTTGACAGTGACACTAACAGAGCTCTTCGATACACAGTTGTTTCCATATGCACATAAAATATGTTATTTATCTGTTAGTAGACCCTTCCAAATTTCAGGAAACTTGAAATATGTGAAAATACATTTCTTAGGATCAAGAGTATATGGTATATAAATTGTAGAAAAGTAAGATTTTACTATGTGTTCTTCAGCCTGCTTAGTGTATTGTAGCAGGTCTTATAGCTTTAAAACTAACACAGTGAGTCATACTTTTAGCTTATTGACTTTTTTTGTTGTTGTTGGTTATGGGGCTTGAACTCTGGGCCTGGGTGCTGGCACTGAGCTCTTTTGTTCAAGGATAGAGCGCCACTTCCGGTTTCCTGGTGGTTAATTGGAGATAGGAGCCTCATGGACTTTCCTCCCTGGCTGGCTTTGAGCCATAATACTCAGACTTCAGCTTCTTGAGCTAGGATTAAAGGTGTAAACTACCAGTGCCTGGCTTGTTTGACTAACTTTAATATAAATACTATGTAGACTTTGATTAAAATTAAGCCTATGTACATTTTTTTCTTTTATTGTAGTATATTAATTGTACATAGGGAGATTTCACTCTGACATTTCCATACATGCATACATATACCTCAGTCATATACACCACCTCCATTACTTTTTTACTATCAGTGATGGGTCTTGGACTCAGTGCCGAGGAACTGTTCCTGAGGTTTTTTACTCAAGGCTAGCACTCTGCCACTTTAAGCCACTGTTCCTCTTCAGTTTTCTGGTGGTGAATTGGAGATAAGAATCTCATGGACTTTCCTGCCAGGGCTAGCTTTGAACCACAATCCTCAGAGCTCAGCCTCCTGAGTAGCTAGGATTATAGCCCTGAACCGCCAGTGCCTAACAACAACAACAAAACCACCACAAAAAAACCCAAAACCAAAAGAAGGCTGGGCTGGTGGCTCACACCTAGCTACTCAGAAGGCTGAGATCTGAGAATTGAGGTTCAATTCAGGGGCAGGAAAGGCCATGCGACTCTTATCTCCAATTAACCACCAGAAAATCAATCAAACAACAACAAAACAAAAAGAAGAAACTATAAAGAACTATTTGTAGGAGCTGGGAAATTAGCCCTCTAGTACCATGATAAAAATCAAAGGAAAAGTAGAAAGAAAGGAGGGAGGGGGAAGCAAAGAGAGAAGAGGAAAGAAGGGAGGAAAGAAGGAAGGAAGGGAAGGAAGCAGGCAGGCAGGCAGGCAGAGAATGTGGTTCAGGAGACAGCACCTGACTGGTAAACATGAGACCTACACTTCAAGCCCATGTACCGCCAAAGGCACATAAATAAATAAACAAACTGGCCAATTATCAGAATAAATAAAAATGTTTTATTAAAAATAGGAATATTTCAGAAATGATAGATGATTTTTCTATGTTGTGTTATACTTATGATCTCCTGGGAGCACGACAATCCATCGAGGCACGGACAGTGAAAGGTGGACAAAAGAAGTTTATTTACACTATTTACACGGGAAAAGGGTATTGAGACTACTTTGTCCTGGGCTAGATGCCCAGAACCAGGAGCAGCCTCCACCCGCAAACCTCCAACCAGCAAACCTCCAAGCCTCCAATAGGCAGTGCTGACCCCATGCAAACCAAACCTCAGACCTCCAAAGCCCAAAGGGAAGGCTTTTCCCTTTCTTGAAACCCTTCCTCCTGCTCTGTGGGCCTCTCCATGTGCACAGACCTGCCCTGCTCCGGCAAGCTTTCCCCTCCTGCCTCCTCTCCTTCCCTGCAGTAACTGTTTTCCTCAGGACTCTGTCTTTCCCTTGCTCTCCTCTCCTCGGGACTCCTCTCTCCTCCCTCCACTATTTTCCTCTAACCTCTCCTCAGGACTCCTACTCCCCCCACCCCTCTCGGAGCAGCAGCCTATATATCTCTGGATAAGCTGCGCCCTGCCCCCACTAATGGTTTCAAACCGACATTCGTGCTCCTCCCCAAGCTGCCCCCTGTCCAATCCCAATAGGCAGCTAACCATGTGGGGCTCAACACCCCACCCCTCCAATAGCACCCCCCCCCAGCATGTCCCACCCCTTTTGGTGGTATGCCCCGCCCCTTCCCTTGGCATGGGCCCCTCTGGCGGTGCTCTGTGGGGTGGTGACGTCAGCCTCTCAATGCCCTGCTCTGCCTGGTAGCCTGGTCTGTGGAGCAGTGAGGCTCAACTCTTGATGCCCGGCCCCCTCCAGCAGGCCGGGCCACGGGGCCACGCTGACTATTGGGCCCTGCTGATTATCAGGGCCCCACGGGGTATTACACTTTAAATATGTTAGTATTATACCACATGCGTGTAAATGTAAGGTTGTTTGATCATTGTTCTCACATTTAAGCTTTTTGCTATAGAAAATTTCAAATATATACAAAAATGGAGGAAATGGTCTATGAACCCAAATACCTATAGATGATCTTCAGTAATCATCAGGAGTCATTGTTTCATTTTTGGTAAATTGCTTGTTACTAACATGTCCTATTTTCTTACTGAGAGTAACTTTCTTTATGCCATTAGCCTCTAGGGCGGCTAGGAGCTTCTGTTACTGGAATTGATCCTGTGGATGAAAACATTAAAATAGCACAACACCATAAATCATTTGATCCAGTTCTGGATAAGAGGATAGAGTACAGAGTGTGTTCCCTGGAGGAGATTGTGGAAGATTCTGCAGAAACTTTTGATGCTGTCATAGCTTCTGAAGTTGTAGAACATGTGATTAATCTGGAAGCATTTGTACAGTGCTGTTGTCAAGTGTTGAAAGTAAGACTTACAGAACTTTTCTGTTTTTCTCTGTATGTGTATGTATCTATAGCAACAGAATGTTATTTTAGCAGTCCAGCAGGCAAGGTATAGGAGAGAGGAACTAATAAGCAAGGATTAGGAGGTAGCATCTCTGCTGGAAAGTATTTCTGTGCCTCTGATTGCCCTCAATAGCAAGACCTTCCAGTGTCCAATGAGTATCTTGATGTCTAGGGATCTTAAAAAAGGTGCTAAACAGGACAACAATACATCCATAGTGGTAATTTTCCCATTTGTACAATCTGCATTAAATACTTAATGGACATTATATGACAATTACTAAGAAATTGATTTAGATTAATATTTGAAATCCATGAGAACAAGCACTTGGTAAGTTTATGTGTGATATATATCTATGTATTATATATAGAAAAGTTTACAGCTTTTTTTTTTTTTTTTTGGTCTGTCATGGGGCTTGAACTCTGGGCCTAGGCACTATCCCTCAGCTTTTCAGCTCAAGGCAAGCACTCTACCAATTGAGCCACAGCACCACTTCCGGTTTTTTGGTGGTTTATTGGAGATAAGAGTCTTACAGACTTTTGTGCCTGAGCTGGCTTTGAACTGTGATCCTCAGATCGCAGCCTCCTGAGTAGCTAGGATTACAAGTGTGAGCCACGGGTTCCTGGTGTTTTCAGCTTTTTAAACCAAATTTTAGCTTTGTAGAAGAATTACCAAGAAAATGTGTATTCCCTTTACCTTTTCCCCCTGGTACTAACACTAATAAGGCTCAGCACTAAGATGAAGGACACACTCACTCTCAGGTGCCCACCCTATACTTTCAAACCCTGAAAGGGTGACCTCTTTCTGTTCTGGGCCCTAGGAGCTTCACCAAGCCCCGTCCCTGCACATTTCTTCTGGTACAGTTCTCAAGAACAGTACCTGGACACTGACATTGTGCTTGCATACTACTCTTTAGAGCCCGTTAAATTTCGTTAGTTTTCTCACTAATGTCATTTTTGTGTCATGGGACCAGTATAGCCTCCTGCATTGTACTCACTTGCCATATCTTCTTTGCCTAGCACTTTACCAACTGAGCCATATCTCCAACCCCTACATTTATTTTATATTATTATTGTACAAATGAGTTTTGATTCAGCATGTCACTTTATGAGTGTGCTACATCTTGATTAATGTTATCTCTTCCACCATTCTTTGCCCCTTCCCCTATCTCCCTCAACTCCACCCATCTCAAGTTATTTCAACTTTTACTTTAAACAACATATCTCAATAATAGACATCCTCTTTTAGAGTTTTGGTTTGGGGTGGTATTTGAGATGTTTCTTTCCCACACCACATATAAATAGAGAATAATATGATTATTTTGGAGGGAATCTTTCATTTTTCTCCCCATTCAGACTTAATTTTTAATAAAAGGAAGGGACATCAATGTCCTTGGATCTCTGAGACTAAGCATAGGAAGCACCATAAATATAGTCACTGAAAAATGGAAGACTGCATATACTCGTAAATGGCCTGTGTTCATGTTGGTGCTTATTTTGGTCTTTTCATAAAACAAAACCATTTTAACCCTAACCGTTAAAGTTCTGGTCAGAGATCACTTACTGGCATATTGTTCCCTTATGTAAGATACATAGTTCTGTGGTACATCAAACAGGTTTAAACAAGCTTAGCATCCTGTAGAAAATGTAGAGAGAGCATCCTGATTATTAGAATCAGGGCTGGTTTTAGGGCTTGAACTCAGGGCCTTGGTGCTGTCTCTGGGCCTCTTTGTGCTCAAGGCTAGTACTCCACCACTTGAACCACAGTGTGTGTCACTTATGGTTTTTGAATGGTTAATTGGAGATCAGAGTCTCACAGGGACTTTTCTGCCCAGACTGGTTTCAAACCACAATCCTCATATCTCAGCCTACTTAGTAGCTAGGATTTATAGGTATGAGGCACTGGCACCCAGCTAAATTTTACTTCTATACAATTTTATCTGTATATGATTTTTTTTAGCCTGGTGGTTCTTTATTTATTACTACAATCAACAAAACACAGATGTCCTATGCCCTGGGAATTGTATTTACAGAGCAAATTGCAGGTATTGTACCAAAAGGTACTCATACATGGGAGAAGTTTGTTTCACCTGAGACACTAGAGAGCATTCTGGAATCTAGTAAGTATGGAAAATTTTTTCTCTAATTTTCAAGGCCTACTCAAGCTTTTAATGCATTATGTAATATAATTCACAATCACATTACTAGCACTTAAACAGGTCAGTATGCTTTACATATTAGTCTCTCAATTGTTATAAATATCTTAAGAAATGGATAAAATACTACTTTTACATGTGGCACCTAACCCAGTACAAAACAAAAAATAGCTGATCAGTGAACAGGTTTCTTTCTATTTAGTATTAAGTTGTTTAAAGATGAGGTACAGATATCTGTTGCTTACACATCTTCAGTTTGCCATTCTGAGTCTTACTTGTATTAGCTTATCTTATAGATTGTTTTCCCTGATTCTGCCATACTCAGATATTTCAAACTTGTTTGCTACTTTTTACACATTTACTGTCAGTTATGTATATTATAGGATACTTTTTTTCTCTTTCCTGATATGTTGGTAAGGTTATCTTCTTGTGTCCTATACAGTGTTATGCTCTGTTTTACTTATAATGGACACTCAATTTACATGTTGAGATCTTGTCCAGTGCTATTGTCTCTCATTTATTTGGCATTTGATGGTTTTGTTTTTGTTTTTGTTTTTATCGGTTGTGGGACTTGAACTCTGGGCCTGAGCGCTGCCCCTCAGCTCTTCAGCTCAAGGCTAGCACTCTACCACTTGAGCTACAACGCCACTTCCAGTTTTCTGGTGGTTTACTGGAAATAAGAGTTTCACAGACTTTCCTGCCTGGGCTGGCTTTGAACTGTGATCCTCAGATCTCAGCCTTCTGAGTAGCTAGTATTACAGGTGTGAGCCACCGGTGCCTGGCTTGATGGTTTTGTTGAGTACTTAGTGTCATTGCATTTGTCATGCTTCTTGTTTTGATAATAGATCAAAAAAATTGATTTTACTTGGAAGATAATCAGTCCATAGCAAATAGGTAAATAATTTGTCCAGTATTACCATGTACAGAGTGCCAAAGCTAGGTCTTGAACCCAAGTAGTCTGCTTTAGAGTATGTGTTCTAGTCTAAAGTATGGTCTGTACATGCTTACAAAGTATTTTTGCCCACTAAAGTACTAATAAATTTTCATTGATATGAAATGTTGCAGAGACTTTTGGCCTTTGGAAGTTAAAAGTTATTAAATCCATGTTTTCTGTTGAATTTTTCAGATGGTTTCTCAGTTCAGACTGTGGCAGGAATGCTCTATAACCCCTTCTCAGGTTACTGGCATTGGAGCGACAGCACCAGCATTAACTATGCAGCTCATGCTGTAAAATCCTTGGCACAGGAGCATCCGGGGCCTGCTGAGTTTGTTTTCAAGGGTGAAACAGAAGAGCTCCATGCTAACACATCCAGCAGTCCAGGTGTTCATGAACAGCTAAAGAAATGAATTGTTTTTGAGGATTGGAATAGCATGGCTGAAAAGTCTGCTTATAAGTTTAAAAAGACATACAAAAATTTCAGTTCATCTTTGGAGAGAAAATCATGAAATAAAGGCCAACCAAAAAGGCTAAATCTTTGAAAAGACTCATGATCATGTGCTACTTTCAAGAGATTCTATGGACAAAAAGTTTTATCAAGATATTGTGTGATCTAGGAGTTTACATTCTTTAGCTTTTAGTTTACAAGTAAAATCTGCATATTTCATTTCATCTTATACATTACATATTTCCCCACATACATTTACATGAATATGTTTTGTTATTTATTTTAACTTAATATGGAATCTTTTTTGTTTCTTGTTAATTCAATAGTACTCTTGCCTGATAAAAACCAATTAGCATTTTCTATTACTTACACTTGGGAAGATAACATGTATTATTTTTCTTTACATCTTATTTTGTTGGAAAACAAATGGGTTATTAACTATGTCCTGGGTTTAGATTCAGACCTTAAAATAAACTTGTGACTCCCTCCCAGGAAGAACTAATATTCATGTCTTAAAGCCATCTCCATTGCATTCTTTCCCCTCCCCTCTGCTACCTTATATTTATTACTATCCAGGATGTTTGTAACATTTTAGTACCCTTACCTTTCTGTTAGAAAACTGCTTTAAGCATGTGAGGGTGAGGCAAGAGGATCACAGGTTCAAGGCCATGCTGGGATACATAGATGTTTGAGGCTACCGTGCGACCCATAGCAAAAAGTAAAAGGAGGCAGGGTGCCAGTGGCTCACGCCTCTAATCCTAGCTACTCAGCAGGCTGAGATCCGAGGATCACGGTTCAGAGCCAGCCTGGGCAGGAAAGTCTGTGAGACTCTTAGCTCTAATTAATCACCAGAAAACCAGAAGTGGTGCTATGGCTAAAGTGGTAAAGTGCTGAAGAGCTGAAGGACAGCGCCCAGGCCTAGAGTTCAAGCCCACGACTGATCCCCCACCCCCAAAAAGAAGGAAAGGGAAGGAGTTAGTTGAGATGTAAGATCTGCATCATATCTATATTTTTTAGTGTAATATCTAGCACATACAACCATTATAAATTAAGTGTTGAATAAATAGCTTCCTTATTAGATCCAACTCAAAAATCATGCACACCCATAAAACAAGAGAATGGTATAGGAATCCACAACTGATTCTCACATTTTAGATACCTTTATTCCTTTTTAGCCTATCCTCACGTTTTGTTTTTTTTTTTTTTTTGTGGTGCCAGTGCTAGCACTTGAACTCAGTGCATAGCCACTGGCCCTGAGCTTTTTTGCCCAAGACTGGTACCCTCACTTGAGTGAGCCCTAACACCACCACTAACTTTTTGGTTTCCTGCACAGGCTGACTTTAAACTTTGATCTTCAGATCTCAGCCTCCTGAGTAGCAAGGATTACAGGTATGAGCCACCAGTGCTCTTCCTTGAACTATTATTCAGTCACTCATATGGAAAATTTTAAATAATTATATTGTCTACAGTGAAATATTGACTGATTCAGGCAAGGATCATCAATGAAAGTTAAAATTAATATAAAAGTTTAGGTGGCTCACGCCTGTAATCCTAGCTACTCAGGAGGCTGAGATCTGAGGATCACGGTTCAAAGCCAGCCCGGGCAGGAGAGACCATGAGACTCTTATCTCCAATAAACCACCAGAAAACCGGAAGTGGTGCTGTAGCTCAAGTGGTAAAGCGGTCGCCTTGAGCTGAAGAGCTGAGGGACAGCGCCCAGGCCCAGAGTTCAAGCCCCACAACCGACAAAAAAAAAAAAGTTTAGGTGAAGCCAGGCTTTATAACCCTTCTATTACTAAAACAACTGTAGTACTAATTATAACAATAAAATACTTTAAAGATCTTGAATATCCATACACAGTTTTCACTGTCATATTAATGATAAATCAAAGAAAAACATGCAGTTAAAATATTACACATTAAAAAAATTGTTATGACTGTAATCCTAGCTACTCAGGAGGTTGAGATCTGAACATCATGGTTCAAAAGCAATCCCAGGCAGGAAAGTCTGTGAGATTCTTATCTCCAATTAAGCAGCAAAGCCAGAAGTAGAGCTGTGGCTCAAGTGGTAGAGCACTAGCCTTGAGTACAAAGGCTCAGGGACAATGGCTAAGCCCTGAATTCAAGCTCCAGAACTGGCAAAAAAAAAAAAAAAAATCTTAGTTAATCAAAAAAGATAAATATTTTGGACACTTTTTTTTTTTTTTTTGCCACTCTCTAGGGCTTGAACTCGGGGCCTGGACACTGTCCCTTAGCTGCTTTTGCTCAAAGCTAACACTCTACCACTTGAGCCACAGTGCCACTTCTGGCTTTTTCTGTTATGTAGTACTGAGGAATCAAACCCAGGGTTTTATGAAGGCTAGGCAAGCATTTTACCACTAAGCCACATTCTGAGCCCAATTTTGGACACTTTTCAATACCCTCTTTTAAAATTGTTACTATAAGGATAATATACAGAGGGATTACTGTTTTATACTTCAGGTAATGAGCACATTTCTTTTTGAGCAGTGTCATCCCTTCCCAGTTTTTCCCCCCTGTCCCCACCTACAAGTTGTATAGTTCACTGCTGTACCTTTATCCCTCTATTACTGTGCCTTCCATTACCCCTTCAAAGACAAATGAATAAAAAAGACAAAAATAAAAGGAAAAAATCCTCTTGTTTCCATTTCCTGGAGTTCATTTCAATAAGCATTATTTTATATGATCAGAGGAAAAGAGGCATTGTGCCTTTGGGTTCCTCCCCTAAAGTCCTGAAAAATCACCACATTGCAGTAATTTATTTACCTTTTGCCAGTCCTGGGGCTTGAACTCAGGGCCTGGTTTTTGTCCCTGGGCCTCTTTGTGCTCAAGGCTCTACCACTTGAGCCACAGCACCACTTCTGTTTTTTCTGATTATGTGGTACTGAGAAACTTTTTAAAACCCAGGGCTTCATGCATGCTAGGCAAACACCCTACCACTAAGCCACATGTTCCAGTATTTTAGATCTAGCTTCTGCATATGAGAAAAAAATGCACCATTTGTTTCTCTGAGCTTGGTTTGCCTCACTTAACACGATTTCTTCTAGGTCCATCCATTTCCCTGCAACTGATATAATATCCTTTCTAATGGTTGCATAAAATTCCATTGTGTATAGATACCACAGTCTTTGGATCCACTCATTCTATTGTAGGACATCTGGGCTGTTTCTGTAACTTGGCTATTGTGAATAGTGCAGCAATGAACATGGCTGTACAGGTGTCTTTATCATATCCTGGCTCATGATGTTCCGGGTAAATGCCCAAGAGTGGTATGGCGGGGTCATAGGGAAGATTCCTGTTTCATTTTTTGAGGAACCTTCAAGTTGCTGTCCACTGTGGTTGTACTAGTTTACATTCCCATCAATAGTGAAATAGGGTACCTTTTTCCCCACATCCCCACCAGCCATTTGTTGTTTGAATCCATGATGTTGGCCAATCTAACTGGCGTGAGATGGAATCTCAGAGTAGTTGTGATTTGCATTTCCTTTTCAAGGATTTTGAGGATTTCCTCATGTTTTTCTTTGCCATTTTATGTCTTTTGGGAAGGCTTTCCTTAGCTCCTTTGCCCATTTAGTGATTGGTTTATTAGCTTTGGGAAAGGTTAATTTCTTGAGCTCCTTGTATATTTTGGATTTAGGCCTTTGTTGGATGTATTGCTGGCAAAGATCTTCTCTTAGTCTATTGGCTGTCTTTCTAGTTTATGTCTTTTGCTGTGCAGAAACTTTTATTTATTTATTTTTTCATATGCAGAAAATTTTAATTTGGATGTAATCCCATTTGTCAAGTTCCATCCTATCTGCTATGTCCCTGAGACTTTTCAAAAAGTTTCTGCCTTTGCCTATGTTCTTGTGTTTCTTCTATTCCTTCTTGCAGTAATTTCAAAGTTTCAGGTCTGATGTTGAAGTCTTCAGTCACTTTGAGTTGATATTAGTTAATGATGACAAACATGGATCTACTTTTAGTTTTCTGAATATGGATTTTGTGTTTTCCCACCACCAATTATTGAAGAAACTGTCTGTTTTCACTGCATATATTTGGCTCCCTTATCAAATATCAGATAACTAAATATATGATTTTATTTCTGGGTCTTCTAATCTGATCCACTGATCTTCAGGTCTATTTTTTTGTGCTAATACCAAGCTGTTTTTGTAGTTGAGCTTGAGGTCTGGGATTGTGATACCAGCATTGCTTTTTTTTTTTTTTTTTAACTAAAATTGCTTTGGCTATTTGAGGTGTTTTGTTGTTCTATATGAATTTTTGGATTATTTTCTCTACCTTGGTAAAGACCTTCATTTGGATATTAATAGGGATTGCATTAAATTTGTGGATTATTTTTGGCAGTATGGATGTTTTCACAATATTTCACCTATTCATGAACATGGAAGGTCTTTTCATTTCCTGATGTCAACTTTGATTTCTTCTAATTTTTATAACTTCACTATAAAGGTCTTTTGCTCCTTGGTTAGGTTAATTCCCAGATTTTTTTGAAGCTTGTGCAGAATTCTTTTCCTGATTTCTCTCTCTGATTGTACATTGTTGGTATCCAGAAAGACTGCTGATTTTTGTCAGTTAATTTTGCATCCTGCTAACTTTGCCAAAACTATTAGTCAGCTCTAGGAGCTTGGGGACAGAATCTTTTGGGTCCTTTAGCTATAAGATCATGTTATCTACAAATAGGGATAGTTTGACTTCTTTCCCTATGTGAATCCCTATTCTGTCTTTGTTTTGCCTTACTATCCTGGCCAGGAATCCAAAACTGTATTGAAGAGGAGTAGAGAGAACAGACATCCTTGCCTTATTCCTGATTTTAGAGAAAATGGTTTTAGTGTTTTGACATTTAGTATGATATTGGCTGTTGACAGCCATATTGACAGATATAGCCTTTATTAAGTGAGATAAATACTCATTTTAAAATTATTTATTGTTATTTTAAAGGTGATTCACAGAGGAGTTACAGTCAAGTAAAGAGTACATTTCTTTTTTGACAGTGTCACCCCTTCCCTTACTCCCAGTTTTTCCCTCCCATTCCTACCAAGTTGTATAGTTCATTTTCAATATAATGTCTAGCGGGTACTAGTGCTGTATTTGTCCAACCTTTGTTCCTCCATTTCTGTGCCTCCATACTCTTTCAAAGACAGATAAATGAATAAATAAGACAAAAAGTAAACAAAAATAGCAACAAAGAAAAAAACACCTTGTTTCTATATCCTGGAGTTCATTTGATAAATATTATTTTACATGATTGGAGGAACATAGGCATTGAGACTTCGTGTTCCTCTCCTAAGTATATCCTCCTTTGGTTTCACTGTGTGACTGTTGAGTCCTATGTAGTTTATCATGTCCCAGTGTGTTATATCTATCTTTCACATATGAGAAAAAATATGTGCTGTGTAATCTCTCTGAGCTTGGCTTACCTCGCTTAACATGATTTCTTCTAGGTCCATCTATTGCCCTGAAAATAATTTAATATTCTTTCTAATGGCTGCATAAAATTCCATTGTGTATAGGGACCACATTTTTTGGATTCACTCATCTATTGTAGGGGTTCTGGGCAGTTTCCCTGAGTTAGCTATTGTGAATAGTGTAGCAATGAACATGGATGTGCAAATGTCTTTATGGTATCCTGGCTTGTGATGTTCTGGGTAGATGTCCATAAATACTCCTTTTCAATGTGTGTTAGGTACTCTCAAAGGAGCATTTGTGTTACTACTGACTTGGAATGAACACACCATTGAGCAGCATTAAGGAGTGATTTTGAAACCACTTGAAACCATGTACAAGTTCAAATCATACTTACTGGAAATAATTTTTATACTTAGACTGGTGTGGTGTCCACAGTCATAACACATCATTATAGGCTACAGAAATGGTTGAATATCAAAAAATAACATGTAAATAAAAATGGAAAGACTAAATGAAAGTGTTGGAGTAACCAACACATAATTGCTTTTATTAACTTACAATGTAACTCCTTTTGAAGGGAGCCTCTTAATTGGCTATTACTAATGGGATACAGATGATACAAATCCTTTCTGTCAAAACCATCCTGACACTGACTGTTTTCATGAAAATCAAGCAAAAGAATCTGTGATGAGTACAACAAACCTCTTGTATTTCCATGAGAAAAGGATTCAACTCATATAAAGAACCACTGTCTAAGAGACAAAAACACCATTTGGACCCAAAGAAAAAGATATGTTTTCAAGACAGTGTGGTAGCAAAGTTGAGAATGGAGGCATGGAATTTCAAGATTAAATATGGATTTGAACTAGACTTGAGTCCTTGTTTCTCTTTTGCAGGGCAGAACCACACAGGTGTAGGACTCACATCTCCTAAGACTGGTTTTTTCCTGACTAAAAAGCAGGCCCAGTCTTTGAGATCCATAGACAGCTCTAAGGTTCTGGAAACCCTTGATATAGGTAACAAAAGTGTACTGAGAATATCCTTTAACTTTCAAGAATTCCTGACTGGAGAAACATTAAAAATTACTCCTGTAAAATTCTGCCTTGGAGCCAATGCTAGTGGCTCATACCTGTAATCCTAGCTACCCAAGAGGCTGAGATGTGAGGATCATGATTTGAAACAAGCCCAAGCAGGAAAGTTCATTAGATTCTTATCTCTAATTTGGCACAAAAAAGCTGGAAAGGGAATCTGTGGCTGAAGTGGTAGAGCATTAGCCTTAAGCAAACAAACTCAAGCACAGTGTCCTGGCCCTAAGTTCAAGCCTCGGGACCATACACACACACACACACACACACACACACACACACACACACACACAATTCTGCATTGGGAAACTGTAGTCCTTATATGACAAGGATATGACAGGGAAATAAAA